TAAAACACGTATGTGCTCTGAGCAAACTGCCCCCTGAACATAAATCTGCGCCATGGGGACAACGGAGCAGTCACCTGTGATCTGAAAGGGGAGCAGGGGCAGGGGGGTGTCAGCACCCTAACGGTCTTATGGCAGATAACAGTTTACAAGTTTGGATTAAAAAATAATAGTAACTTTAAATTAATAGGTTTGTAATGACTTTAATCTTTGCAAAAACAACTTCTTAGAAATATCAAACTGAGGTACACCCTCAGTTCCGCTCCTTTGGACTGTACCTTTGGGCGATGAGCCTCAACTCGTTAGTGAGCACGTTAGCATCAGAAGTTATGCCAGCCACACTGCAAGCCATGTCCCTGGAGAAAGAGAAATGTGCCAATGTGCATCCGGGAGGGTCCTGCACAAGTGCTCCGAGCGCCAAGTAAACTTCTGTTAGAAGTTTACCGAGCTTCCTCAAACCTGCGGTTTCTGTGTACGGAAGTTTTATCTTTATGGGAGAAACCTGATGTGATCTACCGTGAGAGATGGACAGTGCCCCTTCAGTCTTCAACAGGTGGATCTGGCACCCCTGTGCCGGACAGGGCAAGAATGAACACTGTGAAGCTAAAGCAATTCCTGAGAAGATTCAGGAACCAAGAAAAATGCTTTGCCAGGCAGGAAAAAATCTACCCCATGCTCTTGGGTAGTCAGTGTCCTCACCTCCTAAGGCCTGGCTCGACAGATGGGGTGAGGGACTCAGGGCTGGGCTCAGATAAAGGGCGCAGTTCCTTGCTCTCCTCCCATTCCTAGGGCTGCCCTGGCTCCCCTCCAGCTGCCACCCTCTGCTGCTACACTTCAGCACGCCTGCGAGGGGCCGAGTGGGCCCAGCAGTGACTCTGGAGGCATGACACTTCCTTGAACAAGCATATCAAAAGGACCTACAACCAGCACCAAGCTGGCCCACCACTCAAGGGACAGTCTCTAGTGGGCAAATCCAGCTCTGGCTCACTGCCAAGTCCTGCACACCCAACCATCCCAAACTAACAGAGCTCGTCTAAGCTGTCCCCAGACCTCCAGGGTAAGATTCAGTGTCATCAACACGACTCCTGAGTAGCCACTTGGGACAATTCTGAGGGCCCGCTACGTGTCAGACATGGCGCTACTGGTTCTCACTCATTTTACTCTATTTTGTTACACTGCCGCAACCACTTGAGGAGGCACCGAGGCCCAGAGCGGTGAAACAATGGGTGCAAGGTCGCACAGACTGAACCAGAATCTGTGCAACGACCACGCCTCCAATCTCACTGTCACAAAATACTGTTTCTCCACTAAGTGCCTGGCCCCAAACTTCAAAAAAGTAACACGTGGTCCTAAGTCTCACGGAGATTTCAGAATCGCCCTCCCAAAATATGTGAGGTCCTATGTATGTGAGCACGTGGGACATTTAAACTCTCTGCCCTAAGAGCTCACTTACTCATTGAGTTTATAAATTTTTTCAGAAAAAAAGACTTCATCAAGAAGCTTGTGGATGTTGCGTCGCTCTGCTGCAAGCAAAACACCGTCGTTTGCTAAGATTCCTAAACAGGTGCCCGCATGTCCGATCGCCTCCATGGCATACTCCACTTGGTACAAGCGCCCTGCAAAACACCAGCGGTGAGAAGGCAAGGCTCGCCTCAGGCTGTTTGCACCCGGGCCAGGAACTCGCGCAGGGACACTCGTAGGCCACACACACACACAAATCCCACTATCATTCTCCTGTGCCACATGCATGTGATTAACCTGGTCACTGCCATTACGTGTCAAAGCACAGAGATCATGAACTACTGTTAAAACAAGTGTCTTTATGTCCCCCCCAAAGTCAAACACATAAAAAAATTTTTTGAGGTAGATTATACAATCTCTATTTTACCTTCTGGAGAAAATATAGTGGTCCTGGAGTCATATCTTCGAGACTGCAATGGAAAACATACGGGTGATTCCTGTCCACTGAAAGCAGCCCCTGCAAGCCCCCAGATCACTTCAGAAAACACACCCTGGCACCCAAAGCCCCATGCAAAGGAGGGAGCGGGGAAGGCAGAGACACCATGCCACCCACTGCTCCCACTAGGACCTTCTCAGGCAGGGCTCCAAGCTGAGCACAACAACACCTTCATCGGGCAACAGCTCACTGACATGTGCATAACTCACCATGTTTCCTGGACTTCACAGCTCCTGGGAAAAGAAAACAGGACCCTCCTTAAAATGAAACTTACAATTTAAAAAGCATTCCCATGACTTTAAAAGAATCTGTCTCGTTCACTCCCTTCATTCAGCTAAGTTAACCGTGCAGCTACTGAGTGCAGCAGGCACCATGCTGGACGCTGGAATACCAGGGTGGGTAAGACCATCCCTGTGCCCAGGAGCTTACAGTCTGGCGCTCCCGTGAAGGAGGTCAACAGACAGATGCTTACAAAGCCATGGGGAAACTGAGGCACCAAGGATGGAGTGGAATGAGCAATGGAGAAAAATCAAAAAAGTACTTTTTTGAAAAACCCAACACAGAAAATGAGTCCAAATTAGACATGGTAGAGGCAGAAAGAGAGATGAGAACTTTCAGGTCCAAGAGGAAGAACTGTGGACGGGGAAGGGAGGGGGACCCCGGACAGAGGAGAAAGCTTGAGCGAAAAACACAAACGGGACAGCTCGTGGGCCAGAGGCAACTTGCTGAAGCTAAGAGAATATGAAGAAACTACAAAGCTAAGAGTATCCCAACCACGGAGAGCCTAGAAGGACACGTTAAGAAGAGTTCAGGCTTTCTTCCAGAGTGCTTGTGTCCTGCACTGAGGAAGGGACGCGGCGGCAACCTCCGCAGCATCATCTCTGATCCCGCCGAAGACACCTGGGGCTCGGCCTCCAGGACCCATTTCACAAGTGCCAGGTCACCAGGCACTAAGTCTGCAGGACTCGCGCACCCAGATGAGAACTCTGAGTTTCCTCCCTTAGGGAAGGGGGCTGAGCCGGGGGCTGGCGGGTCAAGTCCTCCGGGCCTACGGGGCACTTTGGAACGCCCACTCCGGCAGGCACTGACGGAGGCCGTGACCCGCGAGGAGGCCGCCGGGCTCTTCTCTTCCCCACACCCCTAGTCTGGGGAAGCCAGCACCTCCCCGGCGCTCACTTTCCTGTGCGGGTGACGCTCTGGCCTGAAGCCTTGCTCGAGGCCGCCCGCCGCCCCCGGTCTTGTCCCCGGCGCCGGCTCCGCGCAGGGCCTACGGCGGCCGGCAGGGGCCAGTCCGTTCCCCAGAAGCACAGTCATTGCTCGGCGGCTCCAGGACGGACCCGCTCCGCCGCAGCGCCTACGACCCTCGCTCGCCCGCGCAGGCAGCGGCCAAAGTTCCGTGGTGACCAGAAATATAGACTCACCGGAGAAGAGACACTGTAATTAGGGTCTACACGGAGGGTTTCACACCACACGAGGAAACCTAACACCGCTACACAAGCGTCTACCGCCAATATGGCCACCGCGCGTGCGCATAACTACCGAGTGTCACCGGGGGTGGGGCTGAGGATGCGGAAATCCTTCGGGGGCGGGGCCAAGAACCCGGAACTCTTCCAGGGGAGGGACCGAAGACGCAAAAAATACTTTGGGGGAGGGACCGAGGACAAGGAAGTCCTTCTAGAGCGGGGACCAGGGTGCGGAAGTCTTTCGGGGGTGGGAACTAGGACACAGAAGTCCTTCAGGGGCAGGTCCGAAGGTGTGGAAGTCCTTCTGGGGAGGGTCCAAGGGTGCGGAAGTCCTTTGGGGGGCGGGGCTGAGGGTGCGGAAGTCCTTCTGGGGCTGGACCTAAGATACGAAAGGCCTTCTGGGGCGGGGGCCAGGCTGTGGACGTCCTTTGGAGTGGGAACTAGGACACGGAAGTTCCCCTGAGGCGGGTCCGAGGGTATGAAAGGCTTTTGTGAGCGTGGAAGTCCTTGTGGGGCGGGACCTAGGGCCCGGAAGTCCTTCTGGGGCGTGTCTGAGGGGGCAGAAGTCCTTCGGGCGCAGGACTACGACGTAGAAGTTCTTTGTGGGCGGGGAGGTCCTTCGGGGGCTGGGCCAAGCGTGCGGAAATCCTTTGGGGGCGGGACGAGGGCTCAGGTGTTCTTTAGGGTCGGGGCTGAGGACTCAATGGTCGTTAGGGGACTGGGCTGCTGCTTCACGGGAGGGGGGAGGGGGGGTGGCGATGGTCCCGGTGAGGTCCTCAGCCTGAGGAGGCGTCGCCATAGGGTGAAGGGGGCGCAGGAAGACCCCAGTGAAGGAGAAAGTGGAGTTACATACGGCTAATCCTGCTCTGCATCCGTTGCCTAGGACTGGACCCGCATGCCCCGACCCCAATATTGCTCTCTGCTCCTTAGCCGCCTCCCCTGCCTTTCACTTCGTCAGAGGGTCTCCACCAACCTAGTTAAAGCAATATGAACCATCACCATACACACACATGTCATTTCTCTTCTTTACTGACATTATTTGAATGTGTTCATTATCCATCTCTCCTTTTGGCTTCAGCCCCTATGTAAACTACTCATGTTTTAGGTGTTTTGGAAAGCTAGAAGGCTGACTAGATCTGGAATAGACAAGCGATTATCTGATTCAAAATATTCTCTGTGTTTTATACATAAGGTAAATGAGAACCACAGGAAGACACCGCTGCTCACATAGTATTTCTTAGTATTTTTTTAAAGTCCTGAAGAATCAGGATGTTGTGTTTTTTTTTAAGATTCTATTTACTTATTTTCGGAGAGGGAAGGGAGGGAGAAAGAGAGAGAGAAACACCAATGTGCGGTTGCTGGGGGGGTACATGGCCTGCAACCCAGGCATGTGCCCTGACTGGGAATCGAACCTGCGACACTTTGGTTCGCAGCCTGCGCTCAATCCACTGAGCTAAGTCAGCCAGGGCGTATTTCTTAATTTAAAAAATCATCATGGGAGGGTGAGTGGGGGAAGGTAGAAGAGGGTTTAGGAGACTTGGAGTGGCAAACATACAATATACACATGATGTATTACAGACTTGTACACCTGAAACCAATATAATTTTATTAACCAATGTCACTTCAATACATTCATTAAAAAGTGAAAATTAAAAATAATCATGAGATTGTCTTAAGACCTTAGTGTCTTCACATGCATTGATCTCTTTCCTTGTAAACTTAGATTTGGTCCTATTGGAGTAATTACCCAAGTTCACGTGAACTGTTCTGCAGTCACATGGAGAGCCCAGATTCATAGGACTTGGCAGTGTCAAACCAGATTTCTTCTACAGCTTTCTGGCCCAGGTCACACATTCGCTGCAGGTGCTTCCACCCACTTTTGGCAGTAATCATGAGATATTCCTTGTTCTCTGGCTGCAGCTGGCAAGAGTACGCAGCTAAGACAAGGGACTGACAAAAACGACTGCACACAAGAAGAAACAAAGCACCCCTCTCTACCGGCGTCAGAGGGATGACACTTTCAAACCCTGCAAGCACATGACCACCCACTTGGATAGGAGTCTTGCTTTCAATCATCATGTACATGATGGTGATCGCCACTTCGAACACATAGTAGCCATAGCTCATGTCATCAAAGTCTAAAATCCCAGACACCTTATATGCAGCATCTCCAAAGACTGACTTGCTGGACTCTACTAGAATGTTATGGTCATTAAGATCTCCATGATTGATACCTGAAAGGAGAAAAAAAAGAAGCTATGCAAAAACAGTCACTGAGTACCCCAGTTCATTCTCTTTCCACTCCTCTTTCTCAGGCATGGCCATTCAAATAACTTGATGAGTAGTCAAAGATTAAAAAAAAAAAAAATAGCCAAGTCCTCTTTTTCTGGAAGTAAAACAATTTCCTCTGAAAAGGACAAAAGCTGTTCATTTTGGTGGTGTTTTTGCTTTTGCTTCTCATCAACACAAGGCCAAGGCCAAGAGATGGAAGATGTAGTTGCTGCAAATGCCTGATTTTGACTACTAGAAGGGTAAAGGGCAAAGGAGAACCACCCAACCAGAAATTTAAAAAAATACATATATTCATATTACAAGAAGCAAAGGGTCTTAGAATGGACCAGTCATGTCTTTATTTTAACCTAGGAATTCCAAAAAATTTTTCTGATGACAAAGTAGTTCTGAATTTCTTGTCTTTCTATTGCTGGAATAGATGGTGATATTGTAATTTTACTTAAACAACAGCATATAAGTCAGAAAAGTGATAAGTGTAATTAAAATATATTTTAAGGTCCTTGAATTGTTTTGAATAAATTAGAGTTTCATTAAGTTACATTGCACATCAGAATTTCTAGGGAACCCACTCACAGAAGAGAAAAAGAGTATCTAGCTTTGAAACTGCTGGAAAGGGAAAAATAATTAGAAAAATAAGTAGCTCAAAAATACTACTTTACATAATGAATATATATGTAGTGATGATATTAAAATATGTATGCAAATTTAGTAGGGAGGGCAGAGGGGGATCGTAAAGTTTAGAGAGGGCTTCAGATGTAGCCATTTTTTAAAAAAATAAAAGTCTTATTCCTTTTTTTTAAATCCTCATCAAGGATATTTTTTATTACTGACTTTAGAGAGAGAAGAAGGGAGAGAGAAACTTCGATTGCTTACCTCCCATACATGCCCCAACTGGGGATCAAACCCACAACCTAGGTATGAGCCCTGACTGGGGATTGAACCCCCAACCTTTTGGTGTATGGGGACAATGCTCCAACCCACTGAACCACCTGGCCAGGGCAAGAGCATTATTCTTTAAAAGCAACAGGAGCAAATAGGGCAAAATTGTAAGATTTGATAAAGCTAACTTGCAACTTCACACTTTTCCCAATGATTTAAAATTTGACAATTTAAATACCAACAAAAATATTCACTTGACTGGGGGAATACTCACATTCTCGAAAATGCTTTAGTTTGGTCCTCACTTCATCCTTGAACAGTTGAATGACCTGTTCCACAATCGCACGGTTCTGGTCCGGGCCCAAGGCATCCAGGTATTTCTCCAGAAGAGGAACGTTTTTCAGATTCCAGATGAAGTTCTCTCGATAAAGACATTTTAACTTTGGGTGGTGGAATTTCTAAATCAAAAGCAAGAAACTGTGAGACCCTTGGCAGTCAGAGCAGCCAGGGCTGAGCTGCATTAGGAAACCACACCCAGCAAGGGGCAGGCCTGGGGAGCCTGCAGAGCCACGGTTCCCTCCTGGGCCCTGACTTGCCCCTGCAGACACCTGCATAGGGTGCGCTGCACAGGCTGTCCCACTTTGAGAGCACATTCCCACCTCACTCTTTCCTCTTCATCGTGTGAAGACAGCCGTTCTCCCCTGAGGGTCGGCCGGGGCCCTTGCTGCCTCTGCCTGCATCTCCTTCTGCTCACTCCCCTCTGACCACAGTGGCCTCCCTGCTGTTCAGAGAATGAACCAGACCCGGGTCCCACCTCCGGCCTTTGCATTTGCGGCTTCCTCCTCCTGAGATGCTCCCCCATGTATCTACATCCCAGCAGCCAGCGCCTTCATTCCCACCAGGTGTTCGTGCAAGTCGCTGTCTGTGGGAGGGCTCCCTGAACTCCGTCTGCATTTTAAGCCCTCTGCCCAATGCTTTGTAACCCTATTCTGGGCTTGGGTTTTCTCTTTAAGCACCTAGCACGTACTGCTGTCCCAGATTCACACTGCTTCACGCAGTGCTACAGCCAAGGACGTCTTCCTGGATGGAAGCCGCAGGTTTTCATTTATGAGTGCAGACTGCTTTCTGTGAGCAGCACAAAGAACATCATGAATTTCTACAAATGTAGGTAATCTTGGCAACAGCCCAGTAAAGTCATTACGCACCTGGGCTCCAAGAAGCCTTTTGGTCTTCAAGTCACATACTAGGGTCCCATTTCCTTTCTGATACTTCAGGAGGGCACCATACGTAAAAACAGAGCCCAACCCCGGGTTTATTTTAAAACTCAAAGAAATCAAGCCCAGACAAATAAAAAATCCTCATACACAAAATGAAACGCCAAGTCTCACCTCCAGGGTCTTATCCAGTTTGGCAGCCAGCTTTCCAATTTCATACAGTAGCTGGGGGCTGATGGGAACCTCAGCGATGGGCCTTCCCGGGAGGTAAGTCAGCAGCCTCACCAAGTAGCTTTTGGTTTCGGAACCACTATCTAGCCGGATAGAAGGAGGTATACCATCAAGTCATCTCGGAAAAAATTATTATTCTGCCTTTGAACAGTAATTATTATGGCCAAGAATAATAGAAATTATAAAACAAGAGGAAAAAAATGTGCTAACCTAAAAACGCTCAGTGGGATTCTATGAGGCAAGGCCGAGGACGAAGCAAGGAGGTAGAACAGACAAACCTCAGGACACGGGATCAGCCATTCACATCAGAACGACATTAAAGCCCCAAGTCTGCCAGCCTCGGCTCTAAACACAAACGACCTCTTCTGGTGAGTGAATGCCTAGGAACACTTTGTTGTAAGTTCACAACTGAGGAAAGGGTGATGAAAAGAAATGACTATTTCAGAATCACAGGTTCTGCAGGAGCAAACTGAGGGGCAGCCTGCTTGCAACACAGGGCAAAGCTATGCCTCGGGGACCGGAAAACCTCAGCTGTTTGGGGAAAAGTACGTTAGGAAAGGATGGGTGGACAATTAGGAAAGAAAGAGTCAAAATGTCAAACCTTGAAAATTCCTAGGAATTGCCCTGGCCGGGTAGCTCAGTTGGTTAGAGCATCATCCCAATACATCAAGGTTGTGGGTTCAATCCCCGGTCAGGGCACATACGAGAATCAACCAGCGATGCATCAGTAAGGGTAACAACAAATCCATGTTTCTTTCTCTCTCTCCTTCCCTCTCTTCTTCTTGCTCTAAAATCAATCAGTACATAATTTTTTTTTAATTCCTAGGAATTGATTTCAGGCTGCTGCCTGGGGAACTCAATTAGGTACATCTTAGCATTTTAGTATTTAAAGGGGAAAGAGACCAGTTCCTCCAGATTGGGACTTGTAGCCTTAGGAATGTAAGTGGCTGCCCAAGTCTCATACACAGTAATGACAGAACTGGGATCTAAAATTTCTGATTTCTAGTTCTGCATTTTTTCTATTACACCACAGCAGCAAAAATATACAGCTGACCTGATGAATAAAAGTACTTAATTAGCCCTGGCTGGTGTGGCTCAGTGGACTGAGTGCCAGCCTGCAAATGAAAGGGTCGCTGGTTCAATTCCCAGTCAAGGTACATGCCTGGGTTGTGGGCTAGGTCCCCGGTGAGAGGTGGCACATGAGAAGCAACCAGACATTGATGTTTCCCTCCCTCTCTTTCTCCCACCCTTTCCCTCTCTAAAAAATAAATAAAGTATTTTTTTCAAAAAAGGAGTTATTTTTCTGCTCAAAAAAAACCCCAAAACCCAACAAAAAAAGTTCCCAATTTCCACATGTCTCCTCTTACCTCTCTCTCAGGTTACACCAGATCCTGGCTCTAACCACATCTGAATCAGAGCCCGAGTCACCCCTTTGGTGATGCTGTGGCTTCTCCCAACTGCTAGAAAATAACTGTCTACACTTGGAACAACAAACCTGTCCTTGATATTTCTACTTGCAGCCAACATTCGTCACTGGCGATGACCTGCGAGTGGGTGGTCCCTTACCTACAGACATAAGAGAGGTTATGTTGGCTCCTTTGGTGCGACACACAGAGGCTGTTGGAAATCCAGCCGCCTGCAGGAACATGATGATGTGACTCTGCACCTCGATCAGGTCTGGGGTTCTGCTGGACTCCGCATTGGTTATTTTGAGGACATATTCAGTGGGCCTGTCTGTAGTGTCTGTGGTTCTCAAAACGCACACATGAAAGTTTTGGTCATCATAGCTAGGAAGGGGCTGGATCTTGGAAACTTTGAACCCAAACACCGACTCCACAACTGCCTGGGCTTGGGCCTCGCTGAAAGTGGGTTTGGCAAAGGCCTGCGGTTGCTGGTTGTCTGCACTTGACATTACGTCTGGGGGAAACAATCTAGAAAGGGGATATAATGAACAAATTATTTAAATGATTTTCCTTAAGACAGACCAATGCATCTCAATATTGATTCTGTACTTGTAAAGATTAATTTTCACTCATAAAGTTAAAACACGAGATCAGTAAAGGAGAAAAAAGAAGTAGATGTTTTGCAGGTGAATAAAAATCTTTGTACTGTAAATTATTTCTAAACCCACCTCACACACTGAAGGTATGTTTCCAGGGACAGAATGTAGACCAGGAAAGCACTTTGGTATCACCTAGTTTGAGTCCTCCCCAGCTCCACCCCCATCAACTTTACTTATAGGGCAAATTTAGGTCCTGAGAGGTTAAGTGCCTTGGCCCAAAAGTACATACGAAGTCACAGTGAGAATTCAGCTGTCTACATTCCTAATCCATGATGACGTCCTTCTGACTATAGTACCACTAGTTCGGGATGAAATGTAATTTCAAATACAGTGATTTTACTTTTCTACCCACAAGTTTCATTACATTATAAGAATCATCATCTAGCTCATCACTCATATTTTCAAACATAAAAGGGTTGACTGATGTGAGGTACTCACTTCTGTTTACTCCCTGACCAGAGCATTTGCTTTTCGAATCAAATTAGGTCTCTCTGATTGTGTTCACTACAGATGTGTGTGACCAAAGCCTGCACGGGGTCTCAAAACAATTTCTGCTTCTGCAGCTTCTGGGAACCGGTATATCCTGCCACACCGAAATCAGGCTTAAGACTTTACATGGGATTTTAACATTCCTCCTATAGATTTGTAAACTGGGGTAAGGCCAGTATTCAAAGTGTAATGTGAGCCAAAGCTTTAACTCCAAGACGAAATCCTGGCATAACTTCTCAATTCCTAAAGTCTTAAGGAAAAGTTTTTTTAAAATAAAATGTTACGAATGGCAGAATCATTGTGAATTTGCTATGAATTATAAGTCCTTAAAATTGGAAGGGACCTTAGAGGCAGTTGGTGAAGGCCAATCTCCATTCCATTCCATTCTACGAAACATCACTAGAATCCTTGAACGGGACTCACAAAGCTTCTGCTTGAACAGCCCTGTTTTCTACATCAGTGTAAAGCAGTGTTGGCAGCTCTCGCCAGCAAAAGACAGCTGGTGCAATAAAAATTGTTGTACTTGTTAAGTGTATTTTATCACAATACAACAAGGAGGGGGGAAGTTGCTACACTGGGAGAAATAAAACATATTTTTATATTTTGAAACATATTTTAGTCCCAGCTCTGCTACCTAGCCTCTTACAGGGGGTTGGACCTGGTCATCTCTAAAAGCCCTTGTACCTCTAATAGTCTATACTTCCAAACTTCTGAGTTTGAACTTACATTTTTTGCTCTCTATACAAGGACCCCAAGTTATGGAACTAATGGCACAGACCAAGTCAGTTCCCCAGAGTAAATAAATACAACGGAAAGATGCCCTGTGTGTGTGGAGGAGGCGAGGAAGGGAATCCGAATCTTGCAGGTAGTTGGTCTGTTCCCTGCCAACAGGGTTTTCCTTAGCTGAGGAGAAAGGCCAGTGCTTGCCAACTCCAAGTCTCATGCCAGAACCTTTGCTTCACCACCAGGGGGGAGTGGGCCTTAAACTCCGCACTCCGTGCAAGGAACACCAGACAGGTTCTTTCCTCTGGCTCACTCCCCACACGTTACAAAGTCCAGTAAGTTCTATCTAGGCATCAGCTCCAAATTTACCCTTCCGCTCCTGCGGTTCCTCTGCCGTGTCCCCCTGAGGCTGGGGCAGGTGTTATGCAGGCAGATGTCGTACCCCCGCACCTGGCCCAGGTGGGACTAAAGAAAGAAGGGCTGCCTTCTCTCCAGGGGCCAGCGAGACGTTACCCCAAAGGGGGTCCGGAAACGGGCAGGAAAAGCAGCATGGTTTTCAAGGACAACAGCAATGCACTACCGGGCGCTCCGCGGGACTTCCCGCAGAGTGGGGGGAGTGGCGGGAGAGCAGGCTGCAGGGGTTGCTGACCGTGAAGCTGGAGTCACACACTCCTGGCTCACAGCGCTTGGGGGCACGAGGCCCAGTGGGCCTCGGACACCTGGCCCCGCCCAGGTGCCGCACCGTCCCCAGTGTGGGGTCTCCGCGCTCCAGTTCCGAAGGAGTCAGCGGGGAGTGCCAGCTGTCACACACCTGACTGTCTGAGCGGAGCCCGAGGCACCGACCCCCCCGCCCCACCCCCGGACCCGGCACACCTCTGCTCCCGCACCCGCTCACCCTACACGACCCACAGTCCAGAGGCGGCTTCCACTGTCCAGCAGTCTGGGCTGAGGTCTGACGCTCCCGTGAGGAGGTCTCCCGTGGCTGGATCTCTCGCGGTATGGTCACGCCTGACTGCCGCACTTCGACCCGCCCCTGCTCCGAGCCCGCGACCCCTGACTTCTGATTGGCTCCACGGGAAACCACCATTGCCAATCAGCGCAGACTACGGGAAAGTGAGGCCCCGCCCCGGCCTGCCTCAGTGGCCGCAAAGAAAAATTCAGAGAGCGGGCTTGTAATTGGCTCTCTGCAATCTGGCCCCGCCTTCTCTCGGTGCTCACCCAAGTCAGAACCTGGTTATCTTTCCGCAGAACTGGGCTTCTTGTCCCTGATTGGCTGTTCTGGATTCTGCCCCGCCCCTTGGCGAGCCCCTGACCAGCAGGCTTCCGGCTATTGGGCAGCACCTCGCAGTCAGCCCAGTCCCTGTAAGACACTTCGTGGACTGTTTCTCTCGGCATCGTAGGTTCTCTCGGCATCGTACGTGCCTGGGCACAACTCGCGCCTTTTCCTTCCTCGCCTTCCTACAGGCAGCACGCATCCCAGAGGCTACCCTCGCACCCAGGCCCCAGGAACCGCAGTTCCGATTGGAGGTCCCGACGGTGGGGCATGTTACCTTCATTGTCAAGCGCTCTAGGCTCTGATAGTACCCCTGGGTGCACGTCTACAGCCCGCAGGATTCCTTTCTATTGAGGAGGGGTCTAGACCGCCGCCCGCCCACTCACAACTGCAACTAAGTCCCTATTTTTTGTAGATGCACATTACCCGCCCCGCCCCCACCCCATGCTTTTATTCTTTTCCCCCTCTATCAGGCTATATAGCACTCTCGGGTTATCTAGTCACCTTGACTGAGTTGGATGTTTCCCAAACCGCTTTTCCCCATTTAGATTTGGTTCTTATCTATTGCACTTCTAATCTCCAAGTAGCACTCGTCCTTTTACAGCCCCAGAGCAACATGTTTCATACCTTTAGGCTATCAAGTGTACTTTTATTTTTCTGTAACCAGAGTTTGACTCCTGTTGGCCCCCTTAGGCTCTTCTGCATGCTATCCCCTCAGGCAGCTCCTGAATTCTCTCCCCACTCTCAATGTTTGGTTTTTCCTATTCTGGGGGTGAGAGGATGAGAATGAAGATTGAATCTGGACACTGGTGAGACTGAAGACACAGGGCTACTCACAACTGCCTCCTTGGCATGGCTCTTTCCACTCACTGCACTTTCTGCAGAAACACTACTTTGTAACCTGCTCTTCCACTTTACATGAGAATTTCCGTGTCCTTAAGAATATCCTCTTACATAAAACTTTTGTGCACTTTTAATGCTGCCTTTAAAGATAGTGTCCTATTACTGGATCTATTGTAAATCGTTTTTCCTCAGTGATGGCAATATTGTGATGAGAAGAGTCCCACCAATCTGACAACACCTATGCTGTCACAATAATTTTTTCATCACTTGGCCACCGAGACACTCAGTGGCTCTTATAACTCAGGGATCAGCCCTGACTGGTGTGGCTCAGTGCATGGAGCGCAGGCTGCAAACCAAAGGGTTGCTAGTTTGATTCCCAGTCAGGGCACAAGCCTGAGTTGTGGGCCAGGTCCCCAGTGGGGGCCACATGAGGGGCAACCACACATTGATGTTTCTCTCCCTCTCCTTCTCCCTCCCTTCCCTTCTATAAAAATAAAATCTTTAAAAAAAAACCCTCAGGGATCAAAAACTGGAGTGAAACAAAATGAAGAATTTGCATAGTGAGATTATAGGCATGATTTTATATTATGAAACACAGTAGCCCCATAGTTTTACAATGCTTCCTTTAGCTATATGTGGCAAATTGTTTAAAATGCTCAAAATTCAGTGACAACTGTCATCATAAAAGCACATTTTGTGGGGACTACGCACAGACAGTTGTAACAGGTGTGCCATTTTCGAGGTGCACTAAACACACACCTTACAGTCTAAGAGAAAAACTTATCGGTCAAACCAAAATGAGTAAGCTTAAGCTAAGCCAGTTTGCAGTTAAAAAGCAAAGCTGGCATCAGGCGAAAACTGTAAACCATCATAGTGCAGCCCTGAGGGTGCACTATCTTCCCTCAAAAACTGGATGGTCACACTCTCTGCATACGGAATTCACCTGATGCTGGAAAACCTCTCGGGATACTGAATTCGAATCTTAGAAAACTTTATGTATCGATTTTGGCGAATGCCAAATTTTCCTGAACTTTAATCACCCCTTTAGACTGCTATGAAGAGTGGGAGAAAACAGCTGACCTTATTAACAAGACATGACTTTAGAGCAGAGGCCCATGGTCCTGGCCCCCAGGTCTGGAGGACGCTTCGTGGGGACACTGACGAACAGACAGTGCAGGGGGACAGTGCAGTGGGCAGCACTGCCCGCTGGTCCGCAAGCACAGAGGCTTCTGAAAACAGAACGCCCCCTGCGTCGTCAGGAAAAGGCCATTTCCTCCTGTAATGCACAATGTATAGCCTGAGACCCCCAATTCTGCCCTAAATGTCCACAGTCAACCATCTATTCTGTGGAGGTTATAAGCAGTGCAATGTGTGGAGGGTGGATTTACTCATTCAACAGGTGTTTAATGCTTAGGTGTGCCCAAGTGCTTTAAGAGGCGGAGACAAAATTGGGAGAATCAGAATCTGCAGGTGGAAACTACCAGGAAGCAGATGGAGCTAGAAGTCCAGTCCATCTTCCACTCAAACTTCAGTCACCAGGGCGGGCGGTGTGACACGGGAGATGGTCTCCACCTGTGGGGTAGTCATGGAAAGGTGGCCCAGGCGGGCGGTGTTCGCACAAAGGACCCTGCTTTGGGTGAGAGCAGTCAACGCTGAGATGAAACTCCACGAGCCTAAGACTTGCTGCGCCCCCCACTTCGGGCTCTCGGCTTCCCACCCCGGAGTGGAAGGAACTGCCAGGTGTGGGGGGGGCGGGGAGTGGCCTCGGTCGGCACTCACGACTCCTGTCCGAACACTCAGGGAATGCGTCTGAAGAGAAATTTCTGGATGCCATCCTATTTCTTTGTATGTTTTGTTGTTTTCTTTTTAATCACCACAAAATATTTTATAAGGAGTCAAATGTGATAATACAATTTTCTTTATTAAAAATAATTTACAGCATCAATAACATATACACAATTGTCATCAACTGAACTTTGCCTCCAATATATTTCTATACAATACTTAACATTGTTGAACTTAAAACTGTTACACTGTTTTGTTGGCTTTAAATAATTGACTGTAGTTAAGTGGGATACACGGTTTCATAGACACGTTGTCGCGTGCAGCGTTGACAGAAACGTCGGCGCTGTCGCGCATCTGGAGAAGGCCACTGAAAAGCCCAAGTCCATCTCCTCCCCCCATTTTTATCACTCCAAATCAAACCAACCACCTTCTCCTAAACCGCAGGGCAAAACAGAGTTGTCCTATAATTCAACCACAGGAAAATGTCAGTTCCTTTCTCCCCACCCTGCTCCTCCCCACTGAGAGGGCGATGCACACGGCACTGGCTGTGTGTGAGTGACTATGACTGGTTCAGGTCTCAGTGGAGTCCCCCTGTAGTACCCCTGGCCTGTGTGCACCAGAGAAACACAGCGATCTGGCCACAGGGACCGTGATACCCTCGTTCAGATGAGATCTCACCCCGGACATCTGCTGATAAAACAAGGAATAACGGCAACTGTCAGCCTAGGAACTTTAGGTCAAATAATGGCCACTTGGTGGCTGGATGCCATTCTCACTTATTTCATTCTGTAGGAGTCACGGAACCCAAAGCACGGAACCTGGCGGGGGGCGGGGGCAGCACCACACGCTGCAACGGGACAGCCCCCGTTTCCCTTTCCTGTGGGGCCAGTGTACTTCCTTTCCACAATGTCTGCTGTTGTTCTCCGTAAACACAACATCACCCAGACACAGTTAACACAGGAAATGAGTAAAACAATAAAAACCAACAGATGCCACATGTTTGCAAACATGGTGGTAGGGCATACACGGGACACACACCCACAATTCCCCTCCCCACCAAGAGCCACGCTTGCAAGCTTTTTGGTTCACTGTATGTGAGCAACAGGTTAGGAGACCCTCGGTCTGTCCTTGAAGGACAAGATTTGCTTGTACTACGGCTGGGGCGGGCAGGCCAGAAATTTCAGTGTTTAATTCATAGCTAGTTGATCGCCTTCGTCTCCCGTACCAGTGTCTTTTGAGGACACCGTGCCCCTGCCCACAGGCTGTAGAGTATAATATGCTTGAAAATAATACAGATGACCCCACCCTGGAATAATAATTTCTTCAAAGCACATCCCAGGGATTCAATTTGGAAACTCCCCACCCCTAACTCATGTTTTCATGTAAATTAAGAACACATGCACTGACAAATACACAGAATAAAAATCAAGAGCACAATTTGATTCAAAAGTACCACAGAAAGTATTTATATAAAATTTAAATAAAGGGAAACTGTCCAACTCTAGCCCATCTAACTGTCCAAACATGTGTTTGCAGGATACTGTGAACAGGCTGTGTGACTGATCACACGCAAAGGTCTCAGCAGTCTTCACCCACTGATTTTTCTTTTCCAACTCCAAATGCAGGGGAAATTTTGGTTAATGACACCTAAAATATTAGGCCACAGGAAGTGACAGTAGCACATAAAGTGAGCAAAATAATCTAATTCACTTAAGATGATATCAGCTGAGTCCAGCCAGAGGTCTCCGCAGCCAGTAACTGAGCCGCCCAGGGCTGCGAACGCAGCAGGGCCGCCACGCCAACCTGCGGGGAGCTGCCCGTCAGGTCCTGGCTCCCACGTGGGGGCCACCTGGCTGGACCTCGAGCGCAGGGGCTGTGTCTGCGGCGGGCTCCACCCCTTGCAGTGACACGGGGACTGAGGGCACCCCGGCTCCTGTCACAAACTGAGAAAGCCAAGTACACCAGCAGGAATCTGAAAAGGATCTAACATCTCAGGAAGTCCACTTACAAGTCAGGTTCCGACCTCCACAATGTTGGAGTCTCATCTGGCCTCTCGTGTTTTAATCTCCTAGTCTTAAACCAACAAACAGTCGTGCACAGTTTCATAGATGCGAAACTAGAACAGCTTCAGGAAGGTTGCTCATAAAAGGATCTTCAACACAAGCTCAAATTCTGCCTTTATGTACAAAACAGTCTGATAAACACCCCTCACACTTACCAGTCTCTTCCACAACACACTTCACACGTCGGCTGTAGCAATGTTAATAGCACCATTCGTATATTATTTAAAATCAAGAAGATTTCATTTCTGTCACGATGTGATTCATAATCAATTACATCCAGGGACGAGGGAAGGGAGTGTCCAGGACTGTCTGCAGCTCCACGGGGAAGACTCCGGTGTCCGGCACAAAAGGCCTGGTCTGCGGTTGCCAGTCTGGAAAGGTCTCCACGGTGATCAGGTACTATGAGAATTTTCGTGCCACAAAGTTTAATAATCCTCCGTGTTTGTACAATGTTATTTCCACTTCGTTTTCGAATGAAGCAATCACGCTGAACGTTTTTCCCGTGCTCGTCTGCAAACAAACATCATCTCCTGAGCGGTAAAGCCTTCCAAGGGCCACTCAGTGGTCAAGACCGCTTGTCCTCACAGGCAAAGACTGTCCCTGCCACAGGTTCTGTCTGGGAAGCTTCCTCCTGCCTGCAGACCCCAAGAGACCCAGCCACAGGCCTCACCGCTCAGGAGGCAAAGGTATTTCCACCCTGGATTCTACATGGTGGGCACTGCACCATCCAGCACACGAAGGCAGATCACTGAGGGTCTGCCTCAGCAGCAGGAGAGTTGACCGCACCGCTCACCTCCATGTCACATTAAACACTCAAGCGCGGAGTGCCTGCCACCCTCTTCCTCGTGCCCAAGCTGTGAAGTCTGTGCTGCTCCAGCCTGGGGAGCCCGGCCCTGCCTGCCCGCTGGAGCGGCCTGCACGCCTGGGTTCCGGCCCGATCGGGACCGAGGGCTGACAGCAGGGTGACCGCAAGGGCCCAGGGCTGCTTCTCCCCGACGGAGTGCCCACCGCCTCCTGCTCTGGCCCCGGGACTGTGCCAACAGGGAGCACGGCCACCGCACACTCGTTCAGGTCCCAGCCGGCACCAGTGTGCATGCCAGTCGCTGCGGTCAGTCCCCCCGTCCATCTGCACACACGGCACACAATCGCGTGTCTGAGAATCGTACAGGTACCTTCACGTTCAAAGTGGCGCCGGGAGACAGCTCTTCCGGAAACGTCAGAGAAAACGTCTCTCTGCCAGACAGGCCCAGGGAATCCGCGTTTTCTCCCGGGAGGAACTGCAGTGGAGCGATGCCAATTCCGATCAGGTGGTCTTTGTGAATTTTTTCATAACTTTCGGCCAACACAGCTTTCACGCCCTGTAACAGACATGAGTTTATTTCCTTCAATCATCTAGAAAAGTTGCTTTCTAAGCACTTTAAAGAAAAAAAATCTACTTTTGGCCCTTCTATAGAAACTTTTAACCTAATGCTCCACACTAAAGGCTGGTGCTGCATCGCAGCATTCACAGAAGCCTCTCGCACACTTTCTGCACTCAAGGTGGCTGCCTCACGGCACCTACACGGCTCAGCCCTGCCAGGCCCCACACACCCCGAGAGCTCGGCCAACGGGTGGCTGCCGGGACCCCAGAGAGGACTCAGGGTTTCTGCTGAATGGGGCGGACGGAACGTCAGCACAGCCTCTCGAACGGCACTAGAGCGAAGGAACGGACCCCGGAGAAACAAAGGGCCGGAGCGGGTGCCCCTGGGACGCGCAGGGCGGGAGACGGTGCTGCGACTGCGGAACGAGGATCTGAAAGCAGAGGCCGCCACCAAGCAGGTCTGCGTCCGTCTGCACTGCGGAACCGGCACCCCGGGCACCCCAGGCGCGGCCGGGGTCCGTGAACAGCCGGGACGGCCCTGGCCGGGCCGCGGCTGCGGCTCGTTCTCCGGGGAAGAGGAGTCCCAGGCACTGGGCCCGCGTCTCCAGCCGAAACAAATTCCTGCCGCCCAGCAGCCTTTGTCAGACACGTCTCCCAACCCCACCTTCTTCCTCACGGCCCACCCGAAATTTCCAAATCAAACCTGTGCATGCACCACACGCACGCCTGTGCTATACGCGCTGAAAGAATTAGGGTTTCTAAACACCAAGAACGGACTGTCACCCCCAGGGAGTGCCGCCTGCCTAGTAAGAGTGGGTGCTCCAGAGCGGGGACACCTCGGGAAACAAGGGCAGTGCTGACGCCTGAGTCCTGAACCAGCCTCAGTCCCTGGAGGATCGGATGGGCCTCAGAGGACGCGCACACACTCAGACACGCGCACACTCGGACACGCGCACACTCGGACACACGGGCGGCTCCGAGTGAAGAACGCAGCCCCCTGCGCCACCGGCTGCGCAGCCGTCTCTGGCGAGGCTGGCCAGCCAGGCCCACGCCCAGCCCTCCCATCGGGTTCACATGCAACTGAACGAACAAAGGTCACCAGACACATGAGCCAAGCCGAGAATGTAAAAAACAAAGACTAAAAATATTTCAGAAAAAAGAAAACCTACAGCTATAACTAACCATCACAATGCTTATACTCAGGATCGCAGAAAAACGAGTGAATCTGGCTTCTCCCTACAGCTCCTTGGACTATCTACGCTTTCAGGGGCAGTTCAGTCTCAAGAAGGACAAAGTGCGTACGAATGTGACAGCGGTGGGGTTGTGCCCGGCCAGCCTTTCACAGCCCCCTGCAGGAGGGGCACTCGAGAGTCCCAGCTGGCAGAACACCTGCCCGGGCCTGTCCCGCCAGCGGAGCCGTCTCAGGAGACCTGTCTTCCGGGCAGGAGGCCAGGCACCTTCTCCTCTCTGGAGAAAACAAGCAAAACTCAGCCCACACCTCTGAGTCTGTTTGCGCCGACTGAGCAAATCCAAGAAAATGAAAAGAAAAGGGGCACGTAAAACTACCACGGGGCACAAATTATCATCAGAAAGGAGTAGCTTAAGACAGAATCTCCTTTTCCTCTACCATATGGGTTTCTTGAAATCAGGTAAGACTGGTGTAGTACAATCAAATTCAGAGTACTGATGCAACTAGGTTAGTACAAAATGTGTACCATCACTTTTTAAAACCTACAAATATTATGAGTTCTAAATAAGCATAAAAACCCAAGTGAATAAAATATACTTTGGTAGGATGTTGCTGACAAATATTTACAACTCTGAAGTTTAAGAAGGTAAGATTTAAGAATCGATACCAGCAGATACGGTCCTTTAGCAGCCCAGTCTCTGGAATTTCCTGACCCATACTTCTTTCCTGCTAAAATAATCAGTGGGATGCGTTCTTTCTGGTACAGCTCTGCAGCCTCAAACACATCTAGCTGTGGATTTTAACAAACACAAAAACTGTTAGTAGAAATTCCGATTTAGTTAGCACTCGTCGAAGAGCTTTGCACACATCCTTACCGTCTGTCCCGACGGAAAATGAATTGTCTTGGGAGCTGGTTTTCCAATAAACTTATTAAAGAGCTTGATGTTTGCGAACGTGCCTCTGGTCATCACAGCGTCGTTGCCTCTCCGGGCTCCGTAGGAGTTGAACTCACGAGGGGTAAGGCTGCGAGGAAGTCGAGAAAGCCAGCTGTCACTTCGGGCAGGAAACCACCCCATGCTGACAACCTGGGAGACTCGCTTTCTGCGCCCCCTCCCCAGGGCAGCACCGCGGGGAGCACAGAGCGGGGCGCGCCTGGGCCTGCGCGCCGGCCTGCACGCCCGGTCACCAATGCTGTTGCGTCTACTGTCACCCCCCAGGCTCCTTTACGCAACCTCAGACGCCACTTTTCTTTCAAGTCACAGGAAGTTTATCTAGAGAGCCACGGAGGCAGAAGTCAGCTGTGGAAGGGACGGGCTCAGGTGAGAGAAGCATGAGGGCAACCGCCGTGGGGCAGCAGGACAGGGGTGGGCCGGGGGCACTGCGTTTCAGCTGCACGCACGTCAGCGTGTTTCTCTCAAGGAGGTGGACTCCTAAAACACTACCTTAAGAAAGCGAAACAGAAATCACAGTTTCTTAGTATTGGATAGCCAGTCAGCATCCAGATGTCCCTGGCTTTCTCCAGGGCTCTCTGGTGTGGGTTTGTTCAAGTCAGGACCCGAACACGGGCCATCAGCTCACCCAGTTGTTCTCAAGTCTCCTCTACCCGCTGCGCTAACCCCTCGCACTCCCGCGCACCGCTCCTCGCGTCTGCGCTGCGCCGACCCATCGCTACGCTGTTGCTTCACATGCTGTCCCGTCCCCCGTGTTCTTAGAACCAGGTGTCAGATCGAGTGACTAGACAGAATCGGTCTTAGGGTTTGATACCGGCCAAGCCTGGTCTCATGGAGGTCCACTCTACAGTCCACAAAACACATTTAACTTTCACACCGCAACAACAGGAAGGTGGCTAGCACCAAACCATCGGCCTTTATCTGGTAGGTCAAACCAAGCTGACCTTTCGACAAAGTGGCACTGAAAAGAAAAACCGTTTCCCATCACTTCTCTACTTAGACTACAAGGGCTCTCTCTACGTGGAACAGCCATTTCAATCTCTGAAGCTACAAGCAAAGGCAGGGACAGTGGGTACTGCGTAAGCCCACGGCGCTGCCCCCCAGGACAGCAGGCACTCGCGGGGCACAGACGCGAGAGGAAGGAGGAAGGGCCCCCGCGCCCGCACGCACCCTCTGCTCGTCAGGTACTTGGCGGCCGCGCTGCTCCTGGAGATGCTGCCCGCGGGGGAGATGTGGTCGGTGGTGACGGCGTCTCCCAGGTGCAGCAGCACGTGGGCGTTTTCGATGGGCGGGGGGGCAACTGGCTCTTTGGTCTGAAAGGTCAAAGGAAGGCGAAGGCAGTGAGCTTCCTGGGAGACCTGCTGGTTCAGAACAGCCTTTACCAGGTGTGGCAATAAAACCGTACTTACTAGCTTGTCAAAAAACGAGGGACATCTGATGTAGGTGGACTTTGAGTCCCACGGAAACAAGACTGAATCTGGGGCTTCTAAGGAATTCCACCGTTTATCTCCCGTCTGCAAGTGTGGTTTTGGTTGAGAAAGAAGCAAAAGAAAGGTAAAATGAGTCAGGAGGCGCGTGGAAACCACCACGGGAATAAAACAGTGCTCAGGTCGGAGTGGAAAAAGAGGCCACACCCATTTCCAAAGACAGGTGAGGCAGCGCACTCTAAGGAATCGTGGCGTCTTTAGGAGCAGATTCGCTCATCGAATGCCAGCACATTTTCAGGAACCCTAAAAGTTAAGTTTCAGTATATACTGAGCAAAAAAGACTTCACAGAATTTAAAAAAACCCACTAGAGAATTTATGACGACCCAGACACACTGTTAAAGAGACAGCAGGTGTGCGGCGGGGCGTGCTGTCCATCTCCAGGGCGTGCTGTCCATCTCCAGGGCGAGGACAGTGGAGGGAAGCCTCTGCTCCTCCAGTCCGTCCGCCCAGTACGCCCGCCCCACGTCCCTGCTGCTCTGCACCCGAGGGCCCGGCCCTCACCACCGTGGGGCCTCTGCACCACCACCGTCTCCCTGCTCCCGCCCTTCCCACCTGCTGTCTCCGCCCCGTACAAGCCACACAGAGACACAGCAACCCTTCCAGGACCTCCTCTGTGCAGGCCTTCCAGCGGGCCCCCTCTCCCTCCATCAAAGCCTCCATTTTCATGCCGGCCCGAGGCTCCCTGTCGGCCCTGGTCCCCGCCTCTTCGACATCAGTTCCCACAGCCACCCCTGCCCCCTGGGCGGCAGCCACACAGTCCTCCTCACCAGTCCCCCCTGCACCAGTCCCCCCTGCACCAGTCCCTTCTCACCAGTCCCCCCTGCACGAGTCCCTTCTCACCAGTCCCCCCTGCACCAGTCCCCCCTGCACCAGTCCCCTTCTCACCAGTCCCCCCTGCACCAGTCCCCCCTGCACCAGTCCCTTCTCACCAGTCCCCCCTGCACGAGTCCCTTCTCACCAGTACCCTCCTGCACCAGTCCCCTTCTCACCAGTCCCCCCTGCACCAGTCCCTTCTCACCAGTCCCCCCTGCACCAGTTCCTCCTCACCAGTCCCCCCTGCACCAGTCCCCTCCTGCACCAGTCCCCCCCTGCACCAGTTCCTCCTCACCAGTCCCCCCCTGCACCAGTCCCCTCCTGCACCAGTCCCCTTCTCACCAGTTCCCCCCTGCACCAGTTCCTCCTCACCAGTCCCCCCTGCACCAGTCCCCTTCTCACCAGTTCCCCCCTGCACCAGTTCCTCCTCACCAGTCCCCTCCTGCACCAGTCCCCTTCTCACCAGTTCCCCCCTGCACCAGTTCCTCCTCACCAGTCCCCCCCCCCTGCACCAGTCCCCTCCTGCACCAGTCCCCCCCCCCTGCACCAGTTCCTCCTCACCAGTCCCCCCTTGCACCTGTCCCCCCTGCACCAGTCCCTTCTCACCAGTCCCCCCTGCACGAGTCCCTTCTCACCAGTACCCCCTGCACCAGTCCCCTCCTGCACCAGTCCCCTTCTCACCAGTCCCCCCTGCACCAGTTCCTCCTCACCAGTCCCCCCTGCACCAGTCCCCTCCTGCACCAGTCCCCTTCTCACCAGTCCCCCCCGCACCAGTCCCCCCTGCACCAGTTCCTCCTCACCAGTCCCCCCTGCACCAGTTCCTCCTCACCAGTCTCCCCTGCACCAGTTCCTCCTCACCAGTCCCCCCCCCCTGTACCAGTCCCCTCCTGCACCAGTCCCCCCCCCCGCACCAGTCCCCCCGCACCAGTCCCCCCTGCACCAGTCCCCCCTGCACCAGTTCCTCTCACCAGTCCCCCCTGCACCAGTCCCCTCCTGCACCAGTCCCCCCTGCACCAGTTCCCTTCTCACCAGTCCCCCCTGCAGCCCTGACTCCCGCTGCCTGGTCCGAACATGACTAACCTGTTCGCCTTCTGCAAACCTAGCTCAAGGGCCGCGTTTTTAACCCCACCATATAAAACCACAAATTACTCGCCAAATTCTGCACAATTGGTTCGCTTTACCCCGTCTATATTCTTCCACAACATGTACCACTATTTAATATACTGTATAATTTACCTAATTATTCTAGGGACTGTTCACTGTCTGTCTCTCCCCAAAGAAATTGTGTTTTGTTCACAGATACACAGCCAAATACTAGGTGCCCACAATTTTAAAAAAGATTTTACTTATTTATTTTTAGAGAGAAGAGAAAGGAGGAAGAAAAGAGGGAGAAAACGATCAGTGTGTGTCTGCCCCTCCCACGCCCCCTACTGGGGACCTGGCCCGAAACCCAGGCCTGTGCCCTGACTGGGAATCAAACCAGCGACAGTTTGGTTCACAGGCCAGCACTCAGTCCACTGAGCCACACCAGCCAGGGCCTCAAATATTTGTTAAGGAAATGCTCTTTGTCCTCACATCTCTGGAATGCATTTAATAAAGCGATGTCATTGGCCACCTCTGAGGAAGAGAAGCAGATGGCTGGGGATGGGGTGGGAAGGGTATTTCATTGTTTGCTCTCATTTCTTTTGATTTTGGCGCCATTTAACTGAGAGTGACGAGGGCGGTTCCTCTGAAGTGCGCCCAAGCTGGAGCTGGCCGATGTGAGTGCTTGCTGTGCCCTCCCGTGAGCACCAGCAAGCCCAACTCCGGTACTCTAAGCTACCCTCCTCTCAGGTGCCAGACTCCAGATACAACACAACCATCACTCATTCAGAACTTTGTGTTCAAAATAACGGAACTTATATTTGTACTCTACTCAGAAAGCAAAACGTATGAAATTAACACCGCCACTTTACTCAACTATTTAAGAGACAAATGAGATTCTGACCTCTATTTTCTCTTTTAATGCTTTAAACAGGGATAATATAACCTGCTCTTCCTCTATCTGATGGACCTCTTCTCGACTAGGCCAAATGTCACGCAGGTAAATATTCTTGCCGGTGGGGTCAGTACCTGGTTAAAAAGATTAAATAAGAAGACTCAGTATAAAAAATAACTCCCTTGTGATATTCACATTTTCAAAGAAGCCAAGGAAATTATTCAACTACGGAGTGCTTCAGGCTTAAGCAGCTGGAAGAAGGAGTCACTTGTGCGTTCTATATCCTTGCGGTGACACAAAGATCAGTAACTACGCTCTAGGGCACAACCTCCTGACACAATTCAAAGAACAGTGGTCTAAGAAGCATTTCAAATGCAACAACCGTGTCACCAACACCACACCTGTGCCAGGTGCGCAAGCTCGCGTGCGAGGGAAACGCTACCTAGAGGCTCCGTCTGGAAGTCGATGTCCACGGTGCCGGCGATGGCGCAGGCCACCACCAGGGGCGGCGAGGCGAGGTAGCTGGCACGGACGCAGTCGCAGAGACGCCCTTCAAAGTTCCTGTTTCCAGATAAGACTCCGCAAGTGACCAAGTCACCCTGAAAAAAAAAAAACCCACAAATACGTTCAATTCAACAGATGACACTCTTGGAATCGTCATAAAGCAACCTGAAACATGACATTTCTCACAGCAAAAGAACCAAAAAGCCTATTATCAATTCTGAGGCACAGACTATTAATTCTGGAAGTAAGCTAAAATAACGCCTTACGTTTTTAAAGAATTACTTCGAGAACCTAAAAAGACTCTCCTAATTACTTTGAGACGGATGGGTTACTCTTCCCAAGAGGGGCAAGGACTACAGAAGTAGGGGCACACCAACATACGTGTTCTGTCCTTCAACGGGAGGGCCCGTGGGGATGCCCCCCCGCGCCACGCACGCACCTGTTTCACTGCGTTCAGAACGGCCTCCGACAAGGGCGCCGTGTTCCCCACGCACGTGGAGCAGCCGTAGCCAACTACCTCGAACCTGCGTGTGAGAAACAGACGTCACCGGACAGCACATCGCGGCCCGAGTGTGGAAGGGCAGACCTACTCTCCCGTCCCCACCCCTGTGCAGCCAGACGGCCCGACAGAGCCAGGACGCACAGACCTCCTTCGCCAGCACGGTGACGTCCCAGCGCTGGACCGGCCCTCAGGCGTGCCGCCGACCGCACCCCAGCCCCCGAAGGCCTCAGGTGCAGCGGCTGCTCCCGAGGGGCACTGAACCACACCTGAGGCAGAGTCTACCTGCCACGCTACACAAGGAAATCCCTCAGATACGCCTCACTAGAAACAGGACGTGACCACTGAAAAAACTGATACTGTGTCCCCTTCCAAAGGGGCTGAAACTGCCCAGTGCCCAGAGGACCCGCTCTGCCCCGACGAGGCCTGGGGGGGCCCGTGGCTGCGTGACCTGCTTGGAGGCAAGTTCTCCCCTCCCCCCAGCGAGCCCAGGACAGTCCCTGGCCAGGGTGCCAAGGCCATAGATCTACAGAGTCACACATATACTTCACAAAATTACTTTCTGCTGCTCTTCTAAACCCAAAGAAACACACACAACTGATCAGGCTCACAGGGGAACTGATGGTTTACACGAGCCAGTCCGTCCAGAGGCACACACCGAGAACACGGCCGGCAGCGCAGACTTCTTAGGGGACACGAGGACTGTGGATGCCACCTTCTCCAGAGCTCAGGTGTATGCTCAGGTGTGCGCTCAACACACCGACTGACCTCGTGAAGCCTCCACGAAGACGAGTTGCTCAGTCAACACAAGCGGTGAAATTTCACCATCTTCTGGAAGCTGACCTGCACGACTCAGGGCCAGTACAGGCCCCCCGGCCCCGTAGCTTGCACTGTCCGCCCCGTTCCCCGGCCGTGCCTGTCTGCCGGTCCTTCCTCCCTGAAACTGGAGCTCACACCTCCTCCTCCTCCGGCCGACACACCGCGCTCCGCACCGAACGTGCCTGAACATTTGCTGAGGACAGGGCCTCCACAACCACACGGCAACAGCGAGGCAACCGCTGAAGCGGGCACACTCTTCTCCACCTTCCCTCTGCACGGGGAAGGCCCTGACCCGGGGGGGCTTCGCTCCCCACCCCCCCCAGCCCCAGTGCCAGTGTGAGGGGCGGCGACGGTCACTTACCCGAGCTTGCTCAGGTACGGCAGCACCCCGCTGGAGCCGAGGTAATGAGTAACCATCCCGCTGCCCGGCGATAGACTGGTTCTTATATACGGCTTAACACGCAGGCCGGCTTCAACGGCTTTTTTAGCCAAAAGGCCTGCACAGGAGACAAACAACAATCACTGAGTGGTGCCGCTCCCTCATGTCACAGGAGGAAGCAAGAGAGGGTTCATCGAACAGGTGGACCTCCAACCCACATTAGGGCCAAAGTCCAAATTCACAAATTTGCTGTCATTCTGTCCATTTTTGATGTGCTCCATTTAACAGAAAATCCTGCAGCAGGTCCAGCGGCCTCCACACTCTACGTGAAGGCGGAGCCCACAGCCCAGCACGGTGCCCGCACGGCACAAACGGAAGCGTTCTCCACGCACAGCAGCTCGGCGGGCAGGAGCGAGGCCGCGGCAGTCTCCCCTCTGTGCCCGCCCCCAGGGCTCCCGCTCGGCCACGGGGGCTCCCAGCGCGTCGTCAGGAGACTCGCTGACAACACTGTGCTCTGTTAACAGAAGCAACCGTGACCTAAAACCAACAGGCGTGTGAGCTATACCACAGTAATAACACACCTTCTGTGCAATAAAATAACCGGTAACAACCTTAGGCCCCTTGAGGCCTGACTCCAGTCGCAGAAAGCCCTCGGCGTCAAACACAGACCCCAGCACCGCGCACCGTCCCTGCACCCGAAGGTGGGGTGGGCCCGGCGGAGTGCACGCGCCTCAGGAGGAGAGGGCGTGCGGCCCGGCAGCGACACCCACCTGCAGCGAGCATGACCGACGGGTTGCAGTTGTTGGTGCAGCTGGTGACGGCCGCGATGACCACGGACCCGTGCGACAGCCGGTAGTCGCCGCCTTCGTAGTGCAGGGTGACGGCGTCGTTCTGCCTTTCGGCCGCGATCTGGAAGCCTCTGAACCCGACCTGTGGAAATGCGCCCACACGAGCATGAACTCAGCGTTCCGCCCTCGTGGAGAAAAGTGCCCAACGGGAAACAGCCCGCCAGAAAGCACTGCGGACGGCTGCCGTGCCGCGTGCGGGGCTGCAGGGCCGCGCCCAGCAGCAGCGGGGGCTCCGCCGAGCCTGAGCGTGCAGTCACGGCAGCCGCCTGCCGGCCCCCGCGGCTCTGGCCCACCGAGAGCCGGCCGAGCTCCCTGGGCCCCGCTCTCGCCTGCCCTGCGGTTCTCCACTCACTCCCACTCACGCCCCTTCTCAAGAGGCCCGGCAAAGTTGTTAGGAGCAATGGCCCCGAAGACATGCTTCCAAACGACGACGGGGGGCGGGGGTAAGGTCGACAGCACTGGCGATTGTTGGAGCAAGGCACGTGGGAATTCGTTACACTGTCACTGCACAAACCTCACGTTTTCCGCAGTAAGAAAAGTAAGATACTACAGAAGCAAAAGCTCTCTGTAAAGAGCGCCAGCGACAGTTCTCCGAACAGAGCCCGAGTGGCCAGTGTGAAGCCAGGATTCTCAGACAGACCGGCAGTGCTTCCGGCCCAGCCGGCACGCCAGGAAAGCCTCGAGCGGCCGTTTTTGCCCGCTGGGCTGCAAGAACCTGACTGTGCAGTCGGGGGCCCCGCCCTGTATTCCCGAGACTGTCGCACACCAAAGAAGACAACAGCCAATACAACAGCCGACCCGTGTGAATGAATCAAAATGACTTCTTTTTGTCAGATCAGCAAAAAACATATTTCCGGTGCACCGCAGAATTTCAGTATTTACACTTTGGGTGCCGTGACACGGAGAGGGCGGAGACCCGCCGGTCCAGGCACTGCCGTCCAGCGGAAACTTCCGTGACGACACAAGGGCTGCACGGGGAGCAGCTGAGCGGCACTCGAGACCCACTCACTCACACTGTCCTCTAAGGGACAGGATCAACTTCCGATCCTTAGCGTGGACCTGGGAACAAGCTCACCACCGGGGCCGCAGCTCGGCCAGGGGAGGCTGGTGCTCAGGCCACACCCAGCGTGCGCACCGGGGCGGCGGGGGGCACCCACCTTCTCACTCAAACAAGCTCGGAAATCGCTCTTCATCTCTGTCACAGCGACTCTGTCCTGCGGCCTCTTGGGGCCGCTGACGGACGCCACGATTGAGTTCAGGTTAATCTGGATCACCTAGGAGACGAGAGAAAAGGGGAAGAAAACAGTTGGGGTCGCAAGGACAGACTCCAACTGGAGCACTGCTTCCTGAGGCAGAACGAGTGCATTCATGTGTTTGGACGCAACCTGTTTTCATGCTGAGACACAGGCACCGAAGACAAGGCTCTGAAACCCTGCGGACAGCAGCCCGGCGGATGAGCCCAAGGCCTCCGCACCACCCGCTGCGCCGGCCCCACAGACCCTCCCGCCCCGCTGTCCGGCCCCGCCAGCGTGAGCACCGTCTTCGCGGCATCTGCCGACCACGCACAGGAGGCCTGTGCCAGCTGCGCAGTCCGTGCCGCCCCGTGACGGTGCGGGCGGGCTCGGTAAATAAACCTTTCTTCCCTGTCTGCTTCGCTGCAATGAAAATCGATGAAAAACTAGTGGGTGAAATCAAAGGGTCACAAACAGCAGCTCTTAAGAACAGTAACAACTGCAGCTATCACTCACTGAGCTCTCACTGCGTGCCTGAAACTGTTCCAACACATTTGTACTTAATCTCCTGACAATCCTCCGTGGCGGATGTCATCTTCGTATTTTAGAGATGAGGAAGCAGAGGCAGAAAGGATAAGTAATTTGCCCAAGGTCACACAGCTGACAAATCTCAGAGCTAGGACTGAGATGCAGGTAGGGAGGCTCCAGAATTCACCCCCGGTATTAGGTGGGTCACTGTGTACATACCTGGGAGTATTCGGGTTCTCCTGAATTACTCTGGTCATTTCGAAACAATTTCACAGCTTTAAGGTATGTTTCCATCGATCTGAGTTTGGCTTTGTCAAAACCTAAAAATAAAAAGATATACAACAAAAACCCAGTAAGGAATTCTGAAATCTTTTGGGGTAAGGATATTGAATTCCAAAGATGAGCAAAAAACAAATATTACAAATTACTAACTACTGAGAATCCATTTCATTCCAAATTAGCATTCGATATTATTCTCAAAAGTAGAAAAAATTTCACCGTTCGTGAAAAACTCTTACTTTATGAACATAGCAGCTCCTTCTTCAAAAGTTAATAAATCACAGACAAGATCGCTAATACTAAGCCAGTTCTACGAAATTCACACAGAAACACCGTCCACACAAACAAAACCAGTACCGACACTGACCCAAGCGCTCCCCACCTCGAAGGGCTAACCCTCCACTTCCCTGAGCGACACCAACAGTCGGAATGAAAGAGTCAAGTACGTGGACGTTACAGTTTCTCTCAGAGCAGAGACCTTCCAGAAGCTGAACGACCTCGGGTGGCAACACGGGAGCCCCCCATAACACCTGGGAAACCTCGCAGGGCCTGACGGGGCGTAAAGGACGGGGCCGGCCGAGCTTTCCAAGCTGCCCCCCAAGCTGCCCCGGCCACACCCCCCGCGAGCTGCGAGAGCTCCTCACAGCTGACGGCTGCACCCCTCCGCAGGGGTGGCCCGAGCACCGGCGTCTCTGGCTGGCGCGCAGGGCTCTCAGGTCGCACGGAGAAGCGGCAGGGACGGCCACCCCCAAGTGCACCCTTGATGAGAGCAATGACCTCCTGAAAACGGGAACTGCGTCAACTGAAAGGAGGCCCTGCTCGTGCCACAGGGGCCTCACGCGACACGAACATGGTCTAGTGTCCAGGTGGTTTCTGCCTGAGGTCACACAGCCAGCGGAAGGGCGCCACAGCTCCCGGTCACTCAGGCCACAGAGCGGTCTGGAGCAATGACCTGCACTGCCCTCCACAAAACCACACGCTCATCCTTCCGGCACAGCTCTGGGTCTCAGCCTCTTCCCTCGGGCGGCCCCTCCACTCCTGGGTGTGGGGGGCAGCAGCAGACATTCAAGCACCTGCCCACCCTGCACCCCAGGTCCCTGAGCAGGGCAGGGCAGAGATCAGTGGTTTGAATAATTCCTTTAAACTGCTTGTAAGTGGGTCCGAGCAGAGTAGGGTTTGAGGTCACGACACCATCTAAAGCCACCTGCTACAGTTCACTTGAAAGCCACTGCCCCAAAACAAGAGAAGTTCATGAACACCAGACAGCACACTGGAAACGGAACGTATCTATCCTGACGATTTATCGGCTCACCTGCATGTTCTAAATGCTTTAATGTCACATTGTCGACAGGGAAGAAGCTGAGGAGAGCACCATACTCCGGACACATGTTTGCTATTGTCGTCCGGTCCACTACAGACAGCTGGGAAACTCCACTTCCGAAAAACTCCACGAACTTGCCGGCCACGCCCGCTTGCCGGAGGTGCTGCGTACGGGGACACAGAAGCGCGCACAGGGTTAGCGCCGCTGCCAGGGCCTCTCTGCAGGCCGCACCCAGAGCTGCAACAGTGCGGCAGAGGGCCCGCGGCCGGCTCCCTCGGGCTGCAGGTGTTTCGGGGCAGCAGCCAGCGAGGAGGGAGGCCCAGTGCCCGTCAGTCAGCGCACAGCGGGGTGTGGAGACGCCCACAGCGGCTGGGAGTCAGGATGGGACGCTGCTGAGACGGGGCCCAGCAGACTCCACGGTGCGCCTGTTCGCCGGCAGCCCCCCCCCACCTCAGCCAGACACACAGCAACGGTGCTTCCAGCACGGAGGGCACCCTGGACAGTTTAATGACGTGTGAACACACTGATCAAGCTGCGTATGTAAGTAACTGCACACCAGCTATGAAACTTCTACAAATCCAACTGCTGGTCCAGATATTTGCAGCAGTGTTAATTGCAGGTAAATTACACTTTGATTCGATTTAACACGATTTAACACAAGGCCTCAACCTCAACTCCTTCTGAAGTCATTCTCAGCCACCGAGCAGCCGACACAGCTGCTCCCCTCGTCTGTGGAGTGGGGCCGGCCTGCGGTGGGGCCCAGAGTGAACAGCCCGCACCAAGGAGTGGGAGTGGGGCTGTGGACCAGAAGCTTTTTTTTTTTAAGAGAAACAAGTCTCTTCATATTCGTGGTTGTTTTATTAAAGGAACACAAAACGTATTACATACACAAGCTGCTGCTTCCCCACACTAACGAGGTGCCGCGACACATGTCTGGAGGAGCAGATGACGAACCCTGAGTGAGCACCGTGACTAGAGTGGGACCTCAGGCAAACAGAACCTTCAATAACGCATGCATAATAAATGCAGTTTTTGTGTCAATGTGTCAAAATGCCAAAAGTAGATACAGCATTATTTTTAAAACGCAGCCTGAGGGGTCTAAAAAGCAGCACTAATTTTCAGGATGTCTGAAGGGAAAAATTGATTTCTCTAAAAACAGTGGGACACTCCTTTTCCTTTAGGAATAACGCTGTGATTCTCAATCTAACTCTGTGATCTCTGCCCCACACATCAAATCAATCACGTCTGTGAGACGTCAGATGTTCCTCTCAAGGGGGGGGGGATCGATACTCCACGCCGAGAGGGAGACCACCACCTTCTCTCCCCGTGGAGCACCCTGAGGGCCTCGGACCGTCTGCCACAAAGCGCTGCCGCTGTGCGGACCCCGTGGGAGCCCCCGAGAACCCGCCTGGGGCCAGGGGCCTGGTCAGGGAAGCGCAGTAAGAGCACGCCAGCGGTGCAGGCGGGGGCTGCAGAGCGCAGAGCGCCGCTCGCTGACCGGGAAACCCTGGAGCACGTGTCCTCACAGGCCGGCCGGCATCGCGGGGCAGGAGGGACGGCCCGTGGAACAGCTCGGCGCCGTCCCGCTGCCCCAGGGCTGCCCGGGCGGGCGGTCCCTCGCGGAGCAATGGCTCCCCACGGGCGGGCCGCTCAGATACAAAGGAGACCAGACTTCCCTGCGGCGGGCGGAGCCCAGAAGCTCCCTCCCGGAAGGCGCGGGAGGCGGGCAGCGCCTGGCTGCCTGGGTTCGAGAGCCGGCCACGGCTTCTTGCACAGCCCCTGGGCCTCTCTGCGGTCCCTCCTTCCTGGGTCTGTTCCTCAGAACTCGGAGGGGACGGGTCAGCAACGACAGTGCCGACCTCTAGGCTCGTGACGAGGAGCAGCGAGCCGGCACGCCAAGTGGGCAGGGACGCCCAGACGGGCTGGCGTGGGTGGGCCCTCTGCCCTCGGGAAGACGCGTGCACTGAGTGGCGTGGCTGGCACAACCGGAACGTACCTTTGTAATGCCAAGGACAACATCTATGGACGTGACAAAAGGGTTTGATGAGCCAGTCAACTCACATCCAACCACCTCCGGCAGCGTCAGAGAAACGGGCAGCCCAAGCATGACCGCTTCTGTCTCGATGCCTCCGACCCCTGCGGGAAGACAGACGCAGTGACTGGCAGGGGACCCCCGACGGCAGCCCGGGCAGCCTGCAGACGTCCGGGCGGTCCAGGACCACCCGTCTCCCAGAGCCGCCTCCCTGCCCCTCCTGCAGACACGGACCCCGCACCCCCTCGGCAGGAGGACTCCCCTCTCACGGCCGAGCCCCCTGCACTCTGCCCCCGTGTTAGGCTCGGGGACACCCAGTGCTCACTGCCGTGCTGCGCCGGGCACTGACGGTGGAAGGGGACCCAGGCCCGGCCGGGCTCAGGAAGCTCAGCCAACTGGCGAAGACCGGGGAAAAGGAAGCCGACCCCCCCCGCCCCCGCCCACGACACCTGGAAGGGAGGGAGCGCGTCCTGCCCCGCGCAGCAGCCTGGGCCACGCCGCCACGGGGAGCACACGAGCTCGAGAGCATGCGACTGTCTGTGACGTGCGGGCGGGCGCCCAGGGGGCGCCAGGTGGTGAAGGACCTTGTGTAAAACACAGAGGAGCCCGGGTGCGTGACAAGGGCCGGCGGGGAAGCCATGGGGGGACTTCAGCCGAGAGTCACCGCGCCACCTGCACAGGTGCCAGGCAGGTCTCACACATTTGCGCCCACAGCACACCGGCCACCAGCACCTGAGCTGAGACGACTTCTGTCGCTGCCTTACAGGTGGAAATGCCGAAGGCTCCAAGACCCGTTGGCTGTTCCGGCACAGTGACCCTGACACCCTCTGCCCACGGGAAGGGCACGCAGGCGCTGTACTCACCCCACCCCAGGACCCCCAGGCCGTTCACCATGGTCATGTGGGAGTCCGTGCCCACCACGCTGTCGGGGAAGAGGAGGCCGCCTTCCTCAGCAACCACGCGAGACAAGGACTCCAGGTTGACCTGGTGAGGCATCCCAGTGCCGGGAGGGATCAGGGCCACGTTCCGGAACACCCTGGAACTCCACTAGGTTTTGTATAAATTTAAGAAGTCAAAGTGTTAGTACACGATGTGAAAACAAAGTCAAGTCAAAGCAAAACGTCCCACGAATCCAGATAAATGGTAGTTTCCAGTGGGGTCCCCAGGACTCGGGGGTGGGAAGGGGGCGCCCCCCCAGCCTCCGGAACCGGGGCCCGTCCCTGTGTTCTCTCGTGCGCTGGGGCGCCACGCGAGTCCTCGAAGGATCAGCAGGGTCCACCGCCCCGCAGTGTTCAAGACCGACTGGTCTCGGGCACAGATGCCCCACGTGCATCTGACCTCTATCGTGAAACATTTATCGATGTTTTATAAACGTCAACGTGAAACTGTCTCCCAAACCATCGGTACCTTGAAAAACTGAAGCCTCTCTCGATTTCTGCCAAATTCCACTTCCTGATTCTTTAACACTGTTTCAGGTCTGGAAGGAGGAAGAGCTCGTTAAATACGTTACAGGAAAGAACTACTTTGTTTTGAAGTCTTCGCTCTTAAACACACACACACTTTTCCAGCCCCTGGGACGGCGACCTGCTGGACCTCTCAGGACACGGAGGTGCAGCTGTGAGCTCACCCCCCCGCCCCCCCCCGCTGTGCAGTGGCACAGCCACGCCCACACCGCACCCACCGGGCGACCTGGCTGAACCGTGTTAAAAACAAGATGGTCAGCACTGCTGGACTTCCCCCTCCAAGAAGGGGACGGGGAGGCTGACGCCGCCCACGCGGCCCCTGTGCCAGGGACGCCGGGAGAGGGGCGGACGCGGGGGTCCCCGCGGAGCACTGACAGACGTGCGACGTCCCTTCTCAGTTTAAAAAGAGCTTTTCAGCCAAAACCTGGTGTTCCTCTCGCCCCAAAGGGAAGGTCTGTTTTATCTGTAAGTAGCACTTCGCTCGGATTATAAATAAATACGCAAACTGCTTGACGCAGACAGGAAAACAACACGCCTCTCAACAGTAAACACGGTCCCACTTTTAGGGAGCTATTTTTATCTGGTGGGTGTTTCTAAAACACTATTACTAACGGTTTTAAGTTGCTTATTTTACCTGCCAGCTCAGCTGGCAATTAAGTGTTGACTGAATGTCAATACAACTTAAATTATGCATGTCCTCCAGGGTCCAGATAATTACAGTGCTTCGACTGCCAATGTGTTTTTAAAACTCAGATTACATCAATAAATCATTGCTGAGTGGCCACCTGAAGCCACAGCACACCTCGGGGAGCTTCTCGGGCCTCAGGGGACACAGCTCTCTGAAGCCCCGCCGCCCTGCCCCGCGCCTGCAGCGCCTACGGCTGCGAAGCGCAGACAAGCCTGCACTCGCTGGCTCCCGGCTTCCCAGGAGGCAGGGAGTCCGCGCACCGAGCGCACGCCCTCCGCCCCCGCCCTCGGTCTGTGGGAGTCTGCAACGGACGCTGCACGGACACGGACAGCACGCGAAGACCCACTGTGTTCACACAGCCGGCGGCGGCCGTGTGACCTGTGACTGCCATGCCCTCAGAGCCAGAACGAACCGGAAGTGTCACACCAACTCGGGTTTCAGAACCAGTGACACACCGTCTCAGCCCTGCACACGCTGCCAGTGAGGAAACGACAGCCAAAAAAATCAACGAGTTTTGAATCAACACATCCTCCTCCTCAGGAACTGAATCCTGTATCAAAAGCAGGTTCGTCTCCTCGGACGCCAGCGTGCCGGGACGGTCAGGACGACGAGGCCGCGGGGCGGGGAGTGACCACGTGAAACCGCCCCGGTCTGACCACAGCGGACCCGCCGACGGCACCGCGGGCCCCCTCTCAGGAGGGGGGACCACGAGGTCACCGCAACCTCAGGCTCCACGGGAACACTGAGGCAAAAACGCCAGCGCTGCACAGATCTGGAAAAATCTGGTTCAGGGGCAAATGAACTCGTGTCATCACTTAACCCCCGGGATGAAACGCGTGTGGATGGTGTTCTCGGCTCTTCTGAAACTCCAGTGTGTCTGACTCTACCTTTACAAAGTTTCAGTCGCTTTTATTAAACTTTGACAGTCTGCACGCTGGGCGACACGCAACGTGACTCTCGAGAACGAGACGCGACGGCACACACGCGTGCGGCTCAGAGAACCCTCCCCCCAGCGCGAAGGCCGCCGGCCAGGGCGTCTGACCGGCTCCTGCAGCCGGGTCCTCTCCGGGGCGGGCCGCGCCTCTCCCCCGGAAGGGCCCCGTGAGGTAAGAGCCACCGGCAAGTGCGGTGTTCCCGGACGGACAGACAGACGGCCGGCCGGTGCAGCGAGGATGCCGAAGCGGCCTCTGAGCAGGGAGACCAGCAGAACGACCCACAGGGGCCCCACGAAAGGAGTGAGTAGTGCTGAGCACGTGAGCGGCACCGACTCGCTACGCTAAAGATTCAAAGTTTTCGATGCGAACCCTTTTCTGCCTCCATTCGCCACGGACACGAAGGCGTGCACAGGCAGGCCTCCCGGCCGCCCTCCCGAGGCGCAGACCGAGACGCAGGGAGACCCAGGCGGCGTGTCCGCCAGCCCGGCCGGCCAGCAGGGCCGGGTAGGGAGCGGGCGCACCCCCCCCCCCCACAGAAAGCCAGCGGCACAAGGACAGTCTCGTACTCAGGCACTGGCTGCAGATGGAAAGGACACAGGGCGGGCGTGTTCTCGATCTGCGCAGAGGGCCTCCCCGAGCCGCGGCCCAGCTCCGCGGAGTCGCAGGGGCCTCGGCAGGCGGCCTGGCCTCGGCACGGCGGCTTCCTGGGCTGCGCTCTCAGGGGAGAGAGCTTCCCCGCTCGCTGCAGGTCGCCGCCTCCAGGGTTCGGAGCGTTCTGTATTGCACTGTCATTCAAAAAAAGGAGACACAAGCAGTCAGACGTGGCAGAAACTTGGCTCTTCACAAACCACACAGCAGCAATGCTCTCTCTGCAAACAGCGAAACGCTGTCATGTCATGCAACTCCAGTTTCAGAAACAAACCTCAGGTCCCCCAACCCCGAAAAAAGAAAAACAGATTTTAAACTCGTGGATATGAAAATATAATTCTAAGTGCCCCCAAAATCATCTTCACGCACTTCGGTGACAGGTCGAGCGACTGCGCAAGCACTGCAGTAGACCGTGCCACCTAACGGCCGAAGAGCGGGGGAGAGTCACGGTCTTCACCTCCAGGGCAAACGGGCTCGTGGCTCGTCGCAGCCTCCGCCCCAGACTCTGGGGTCGCACACAACCTCTTCCCGGGTCCGACCGCGGTCCCGGGGCCCCTGACACTGAGCTCCGTGTGCTCCGCCACCTGCTGACGAGACGCTCCCCCACCCACAGCCGCCCCCCCCCCCGCCGCCCCCCGGCAGGGGCGCCCCGACACTCTCTTCAGGGCCGTGGGTGCGGGCGGCACTCAGAGCGCCTCTCCCAAAGAGCAGGCCCTGGCCCCACTGCACGTGTCTATCAAAAATGGCAGCAGAAACACACAAACATGAAGTGGTTTTAACTTCAGACTGAACAACAAAAAAAATACGCCAATACAAAAACTTTTCACCAGTTTCCCTCATTATCAGCCCGCGCTAAATGGAGGGTCCTGGCCAGAACTCCCTCCACGTCCTCCCACACGCACTCGGCCAGCGGGCTGGCCGTCAGCCGGCATGCACGGCTGACGTCACAGCACGTGGGAAAGTACCATTTACTGAAGTCGATCTGCAAAGAGTGGTCCACCATGAGGTCTGTGGGACAGGCCGGGTGGACGGTCTTAGGGTCGCCTCCCAGAGTCTTCACCGCCTCCCTCATAGCAGCAAAATCCACCATCGCGGGTATCCCACTGAGGAGGAGAAAGTGGTCAAATGACGGCGCCACCGCTCTTCTACTCCGGCTCACAAGTGTCAGTGTGCACCTATGCACTCCCACACTTAAAGGAACCGTTTTACTTCACACCCACGTTTGGTAACGCGCCTGCTCTCCAAAGTCAGCTGCGCCCTGGTTTACCGGGAAAGGACAGTGGGCATCAGCGGAGAACCTGAGTGCTCGGGGGCGGGTGTGCCAGAAGCAGCACCGGAGGCGCCTCTCGGAGGCAGAAGAGAACTGGGGGACCGGCCTTCTCCTGCCTTCAGGGGCACGATACCCGTCCCCAGCCCCTTCCACCCTGGTGCCTCCTGGCTACTCCAGAGTGACCCACTGTAGGGATGAGTATCTCCGGCCAGCCCTGTCACGAGCGTTCACCAAAGGCCGCCCCTGTGCTGGACACCCAGGGCACGGGCAGTGCCGCCCTCAGGGGCTGTGCAGGGAGGTGCACTCGCGATTGCAGAGCGGCAGCACGCAGCCTGCGGAGTGGTGGCCCAGAAGCTAGACCCCGTGGGGGTGAGGGGACGCTCCCCTCTGCCTGGCCGACGCCCGCACCAGCGTGGCTGAAGGTTAGCTCTCCTCGTGACTCACCCAACAGCCAGGCCAGGCAAAGTCTCTCGAGAAGACTTTGGGTTTCACTCTAAGTGTGAGGAAACCCAACTGGCCTACAAGTGGGGGGGCGGGGGGAGCAGGGCTGCCGTGCAGGGGAGAGCGAGCGAGAGAGGCGAGGTCGGGGCGGCAGGGCGAGGGGGCGTGCCGGCAGGGAGGCCTGGCAGGGCGAGGGGGCACACTGGGCTGCGCACAACGGAGAGAGGCATCAGGAGTGACCGCCAGCTTCTGCCCGAAACCAGCGGGGACCACAGTGCCACTCGCCCTGACGGAGGCGGCCTGGCGAGGAAGGGGTGAGGTGGGCAGGCCACCCAGTTAAGAGTCCAAGTCCCAAAACCATGTTAGCCAGGTGGACACGAGCATGCAGTTAAACTAAAGTAGTTTCGAATAAAAGGTACGAGAAACAAGGACCTAATTTTTAATGAACCACTTCACATTAGAAACGGCAACTTTTTAAAAAAATTTATAAACTAATCTTCAAAACGAAAGAAAAACAGTGGAGCCAACCATCGGGGGACTTTAAAAAGGGAACCTCCGGAGACGCGCCCGCGAGCAGGCGGCCGGCACTCACGTGAAGTCCTGGAGCAGGACGCGGGCGGGGAAGAAGGGCACTTCGACGCGGCTGCGCTGGCTCTTCCAGTCCAGGATGTTCACGACATCCTCCCTCCTCAGCAAGAAGCCGTCACAGTGTCTCACAGCAGCTTCCAGCAGGACCCGGATGGAGTAAGGCAGGACGTCTGGGGAGGAGAAGGTCTCACTGTTACCGAGGAAGGTCAGGACGACGTAGCACAGAGACCACGACAGCGACCAGTCACAGACACAGACGCAGCGTCTGCCCAACCTAACCCACGCCAGTCTGGTGACCACAGCAGAGCGGCAGCCGGGGTTTCTAGGAACCCGCCGTCCTCGACGACCGCCGGGGCCCTGGAGGGCCGAGACGGGAGCCCCAAGGCGCGGCTGTGCCAACCTGTATTAAAATTCTGCAGCACACCCAAAAAGACGTATTTTTGCCGACTTGACAAAAAATGCAGGTGTAATTCTGACTCGTTCGCACAGGACGGCTGTTGTGGTGGCTGTTCTCACGCTCTCCAGGTGACCACCTGCGGGAAACGCGGTCAGTGCGCCCGACGGAACCGCCAGGGTTGGCGTGCTCCACAAACTCTGGCGGCACCGCGCCCGATAGTCACTGCTTTAAGGCAAATATTGCCTAAACTGTGTTGTAAAACTCCAGCAGATTTAAAAACCTCCATAGAAAAGATTAAGGGTTAAAGGTAAATCAGGGTGCGCAGGTGAGCGAAGTTCACTTCATGGAGGCGTCCCTTTCGCTCTTGACGACCGTGTCAGAATGCCACCGAGAGGCAGGTTTCCGCATTCTCAATTTTTCAGTCACAATGAAGTCCCACACCAGGGAGACTGAGTCAGCCTGGGCCTGGCTGAGTGGGTGCCACCCGCCCAACGGGGGCCCTGTGGCTGCACACGGGGGTGAAGCCCTCCACATCCTGCCCGGGCGGCCTCCAGAGCCACACCAGCAAGAGGACAAGCGGCGCACAGTGGTGCTACAGCACGCTGCGTTTTCAGTAAGACGGGACCTTACAAAGTGTAACACATCATTTATTATTACACGGTGAGTACACCACTTTAAATACATCATTAAGTATTGAACACACACTCCTCCCCCCAGAAACAACAACGGAAGGATATAGTAAAAATCTTGGCCTATATGCCACACTATTTCGGCTGTGCCCACCTAGCAGGATGTACCCCAGGAACAAAGGACTAGACACAAGGGACCGGCGGCACGTGGCGGCCGGCTGACAGCACAGGCCGGGCACCGCTGCACTGCTGCCTCCCTGCCTCTGCACTCCGAGATGCCGGCACAGGCTGACCGTGAGCGAAGCTGTGAGCAAGGAGAGTAAAGACCTTGATCAGAGACACCAGCCTCAAGGCCTGTGTTTGCCATTTACTTACTATAAGGCATGACCTTTGGAAAGTGACTCAAGATGCCGCACCTTCTCCAGTGCAGGGGGACGGCAGCCAGCCCACAGAATGTGCAAGTGCTCTCCCCTCACCACTCGCCTCCACGCCACAGCCCTCCGGCGCAGCAGGGCCAAGAGCAGGCACCTCAACGTTCATGTCTGCCCTCACCTCAGTCAGAAACATAATGAAGTCCTCAAACCTAAAAGAATCGTACGGGTAAAATTTTTCAACAGGGTATTTGGAAATAATGATCCGAGAAGCAAATACACAAGGTTAACTTTGTATCTGGTTAGCTACTCTGGAAAAACAATTCAAGAATGTGTTTTGTGAAGAGCATCTTCGTAAAAAGCGTTCATCGAAGCGTCCATCGGATTTCCATCAAACTCGGGCCCGCGCCCACCGCCAGTTCTCTGTCCCCCCGAAGCCCACCCCAGCAGCAGGGAAGACACGGAGACGCCCGGTCCACACAGACAGGCGGGGACAAGCAGAACGAACAGCACGCTGGGAACGGCGCCTGGATGACTGGTAAGGGGTGGGCCAAACAGAGAAAGGCAACCAGAAACGGGGACCAGGAACCAGGGTGCCCGGGGTTTCCAGAGAGGAGAGGGCAAAGCTAGACAGCCAGAGAGCGACGCCTGCAACATTCTAAGTGAAAATATTTCCAGCCTGGAAACTGATAACCGAGCAAACGGCCAATCCCAGGCAGCCGCCGCAGAACACGCTGTGTAAGACGAGCAGGAGAATGGAGACTGGAACCCAGGCCACCGGGCCCCAGCCCAGCCCCAGAGCCGGGGCTCCTCCAGGACCCGGAGCGCAGGCAGGCCAGGTGAGGCAGCGACCCAGTCCAGATGGGACGCTGCCAAGAGGAGGGAGACAGGAATTGATAGATTACCAGATTGTACCAGGAGGGTTTCTTTCTTTCAGAGGTGAATTATTGATAAGGACATAGAAAACTAAGCAAACAAAAAAGATAGTCACTAATTCAAGGAAAAAATACAAAGTTGTAAGAGAAATGAGATGCAATCACCCACCACACGGACTGGCTGAAAACAGTAACTCCTCGTGGCAGGAGCACTGGAAAATGACCCAAAGACTGCAGGGACTGCACCAGGAGGAGGACTCGGGGCACACGCACGCACGAGAAACGAAAAGCGCCACGTCCTCACTTTCCGCAGAAGACGGTTACGTCTAAAACCGAAAACTCAAGGAACAGCTGTACAAACTAGGCTGTTTGATAACAGAGAGGAAATTATCAAAAGAAATAGGCAACAGAACTGAAAACAGTATTCTCTGCAATGTAAAAATAAGGGGTGGGCAAGACTATTCCAGTTATAATGTCAGTGGCTTTTAACTCTATCATTTGAAAAATAAACTATTAAATTAAAATGCAATTCCAAGAAAAAAAGTGGATCACCAACGTTACCAAAATTCCGTGTTTCGGAAGCACAAACAAAGCCGTCAACTCCCGCAGGCAAGGGTGCAGCTCTGTGAGAACCCCACTCACATGGAGGGACTGACTTCTCCTTCCTCCCCACTCGTGACTCCACCCTGCAGGCTGGCAGCACGTGAGCCGGTGGAGTGTGGCCGAGACAACCCCCAGGACTGGCTGCCCCCCCCCAGGCTGCGCTACAGAGGCACCCTTACTCGGAGGGGCCGGCAGCCTGTCAGGGAGACCCTCCAGCACCAGAGGTGAGGGAAGGCCTCGGCCCAGCAGCGAGGACCTGGTGAGCCTGGCCAGGCCACCTGCGAGGCCGCGCCTTCCACCCAGTCTGGCCTGCGGGTGAGGGCAGCCTGACACCTGCCCTCCCGGTGCCCACCGCCCCACTGCGGGCCTTGTCCCTGCCTGCCCAGCAACCCAGACCAGCCCCCCTCTCTGCCATCCAGTGGGCTGAGCCCCGCCCACATCCGTCCTTTGGTGGGTGTTCCGTCCTCCTCAGCCTCAGCACCAGGTCGGGTCCTCACATCGTACAACCCCAGTCCCCTCACCTATGGTGACACGTCCTCGGGTCCCCATGGGTGCCTGCGTCCGCGGAGAGCACCGAACCCTGGATGGGCCAGGTTTTCCCGATGTACACACTTGGCGACGAAGGTTCATTTGTAAACCAGGCAATTCCAGACAGAAGACCCATTCTCACCGCAGATCTCAGCAACCTCGACGCACGACTGTTTCCTTCCATAGCGTCACACGAAGGGATGACTCCAGGGCTTCCCTTCGGCGTGTCTGAACTGCCAGCACCTCCACGCCTGTGCTTGCAGACCGACACGAAGTGAGGTGACAGTCGATCTGATGACCAGACTGACTACTCAGCGACGATCCGGTGGGAGCGCAGAGGGTGTGGAGACGCTGACCAGAGGAAGGGTCCACGTGCCAGGAGGCGCGGAGCGAGATTGTGCAAACACTCATCCCGCTGCTCAGAATAATGCACAGCCTGAAGCTTAGGAATTCTTCTGTCTGGAATTTCCCATTTCACGTTTTGCAACCGCAACTGACTGCGGTAACAAACTGCACAAGCAGGGGGACGGCCGTACTCTCTGGTCAGTGGGTGGCCATTCACATTAAGTTCCCCTGCTGTGATGGAACGGAGGCCCCTCGACCACAGCTCCACACGCACACAGCTTCCCCTCGCGCCCCCGCCAGCCTGCACACTTCGTCAGCACAAAGGTGCCGCCTTGGCCCTCCTCCACCTGCCAGAACCACCAGCGCCAGCGCCGTGACTGACCGAGGCACCCGGCGCAGTGGGGAGGTCCCTGCACCAGGCAGAAGGCTGGGCTGGATTAATTCTGCCACTCCTAACCAGGAACTGCTAGAATTCCAAGAATCTAGAAAGCTAATCCCCTAACAATAGATAATCAAAAAGGCATGTAGGAACCAGGACCAGCTGGTAACTTAAAACTAAAGGAGTTCAATAATTTGTGTTACTGCGTCTGAACCCAGCTGATCACAGCCAGCACCCCTGGGTGCAGGGCTAGGTGAGGAAGAGCGGCCGGGGGCTGAGGCCCTGCACTTGGGGGGAGGTGGCCGGAAGGCAGGCCCAGACTCAGGACCAAGACCTGTCCTTCAAGACTAAAGGCTGCTGCTGAGGTCAGGGCCAGGGCTGCCAGGGCAGAGGTCACAGACGCTGGCCTGGTGACACGTTCTTCGTCTGCACAGCACCCTGACACTGAACTGCCAGCGGTGGAAAACAAGATGATTTTCGCGTGCCGGAGAGTTCAACAACACTGACCTCACATCTCTGCAGCGATGAGCAGCAGCCACCCCTGCACTATGCCCCAGTCCCCACCAGGGCCGTTTCCTGGTGTGTGCGTCCCCTCAGTCCTGGTCAGCACAGGCCTCAACCCCAGGAGCAGGTTTTACAGGCCGAGGCCCCAGAATCGGGGTCTCGTTCACCGCTGCCCCCAGAACTCAGGAGGTAAAGGCGCCTGGGGGTGGGGCCCTGCCCGGAGACCCCAGAGCAAGTCCCACAGGATGGAAGCAGTGAGTGGTCAGGAGGTGCAGGCGGTCTTACCAGAGCCCTCCACAATCTGGGACGGAGAACGGTACCGGCCTACAATCAGAAGACAGAAGACAGAGACCAAATTCCTCACGTAAAAGGTATGTGACTTTATGGAAATTACTCAAGATTCTTGGACTCACTTTCCTCATCTGTACAAAGTGAAGATAAGCCTATCTTCCCTGCCTATCACAAAGCAATGCAGTGAGGACAGAGAGATCTGTGGAAATTCTAGGAGATGAAGAAATCTCCCACAGGGGTATCAGTGTTAATAGTGGCAGGCCAGCAGGGTTCAGATAAATGGAACCAGACAGAGCACTGGGCCTGAGGGGCTGGGGGGCACCCAGACTCTAGGCGGGGGACCTGGAGAACAGACACACTCGGTCCTGGAAGGCCCGGCACAGGGCGAGCTCAGAACACACCCACCTCCAGTGCCAGGCTGGGCACCACTGAGCTCCAATGAGGAACTCCAGCCTTTAAAAAAATTATATATGCACGTGTGTGTGTGGCCACAGAGAGAGTCTAGGAAGGCAGAAAAGAGAAAACAGACTCCTGTGGGAGGTTTTCTCCCGTTCACTGACACACACAGGAAACGGGAAGAGCCCCCGTCGGTACTGCTGCCACAGGTGCGGACGCTCTTCTCACGCGTCCCGGCGAGCTCGCAGCCCGGCACTGCTTGCTCACGTGGTCCCTGTCCACACTGCCACCAGGGAAGGCACAGGACCCAGGGTCCCGCCACCCCCCTGGCTACAGCAGCAAAGCAGGACCGTGCCCTGGGCAGGTGGGGGCGCAGGGCCTGGTGAGCTCGCGCGCACGCACGCGCACACACACACAGGGACTGCCAGCCCCGACACCCAGGTCCCTGCAATCAATCAGCACACAGAGCCAGAACGGTGCTGGAGCCACAGGCTGGGCTGAGCTGCTGCACAGGGCTGCGGATAAAGGTAGTAGGCAGAGGCTCCTGTGCAATGAGGCAGAGGGACAGAAGGGGTGAGAGGCAGGGGGGATCTGAAGCACCAACAGAAAAAATAGGCCCACGACCTGTTGTTTTAAGACACAGCCACATTTCATTGGCCTGGGAGCTTTGGGCCCTGCAACGGATCTCTCTTCACTCGACCTAGTGGGTGTCTCTTCTTTCCTACCAAAAGGCCCGATCTACAACAGAAATTGTCAGCAAAGGCCAAGACTGGACCAGCCGACCCCTGCACAGCACGCAGAGGGCTGGTGCGTGCACGGCAGCACACGGAGCAGATTTGTGTGACCAGGTCACAGACCGTGCGTCAACACCACACACCGCTTCGCTGCTCGCCCGACTCCCAGCCCTCGCCCGAGCCCACAGGAGAGACAAGATGCGAAACTCAGACTCGTGTCCATGTTCCAGCAGGACAGCAGGACCAGCAATGGACACCCGACCAGCCCAGGTCAACCAGGCCCACACAGCAGATGAACAGGTCACGCAGACGAGCAGTCTGAACTGGCTGGTGTGCCCTCGTCGCGTACAAGGGATGGCAGGCGCTGACCGTGCGGGGTTATCCAGAGTGAGTGAGTACAGGGCTGATATTCAAACAGAAACCAGGCAGCCTTCCAGCGATAAGAGGAACAGACTCTGGCTCAGAAATTCTGGTTCCCACGAGGCCTGACTGTGCCTCCCTCCTGTCTTTGCACTTCAGAAAGCTGCCATCAACATCTTCTCACCAGGGCGCTGAGTGAAGTGACTTTTGGTTCCTTATATTCAAGAGTGAAGACTGAAACAGACAACATACACACAGCAGGACTAGAAGAAGATTAGCGTGTGCTGAGGGAACAGCGCACTCTCAACCCCAATGACTGGGTACCACTGAGCCTGCATCGGAACTGAAGCACAGGGCCCAGCAGCCTTGCCCACGAACGGGAAGAAGTCGGTAACGGCCCCAGCCTGCAGAGACCACTAACTAACCCCGACGCAGTGCACAGGCTGCCCTGCGCAGCAGCGAGAAGTGAGGCAGTCCCCTTTCTAACAACTCACGCCCCCAACTCAGAGGCCAAGGGGCACCTGTGTCCAGGGGCACGGAAAGGTGTCCGCGGTGTCAGGCACAAAGGCTGCGTCCGACGCTGACTGCGTTTCTGTCACAGCAGCACATGCACGCAGCTGCAAGGGTGCTCAGCGAGCTGCACTGTCAGGACTGCACTGCTGACGCTGCGCTCATCTTTCTGTGACTCTCAACCGCAATCTGACTTCTTGTAACCCATAAAACTCTCCTAAAAACTAAGTACAGGTCCCTCCCGATGGGGAAAGCCAAGTCCTAGCTCTATTATGGGACTAAGCAGGCTCGTGGTCAAAAAAGCAGGCAGTGAGGACAGAAACAGGAAGGGCGAGGGAGAGGACCCGAGCGGACGGAGGGCTGAGATAAAGCCGCCTGGGGGCCCCCCCACCCCCTTGGGGAACCACTAGGTTGCGAGGCTTCACCACAGCTGGGTGTCTCTGCACTGTGTCCCTCTAACTCGACACCACCGCCTGTGCTCCCATCATGCCCATCGGCCTCATTCCCTGGCTGCTGACCTGCCCCGTGGCCCTCTGGGCGACATCAACTCAAGGCCCAGTTCCTCCAGAGAAGTCTCTCTTCCCAGGTGACAGGGATTTCGCCCTTCCTTGGAAAGAGGTATATTTTCACATTTAAAGACCTTCTCAAAAGAATCACTCAGAATCTCTAAGGTTGTAGTAGGCACACTGGAGTGCCAGACAGGTGGCTCCAGATCCCTAAGGAGATGGTCACAGTGGTGAACTGTTTGCTTCTCTGGACTATTCAAGCCCAACAAAATCTACAGGAAAAAAAAAAAATCACTCCCCCCCACCCCCCCGCAACCTAACTGCAATACATTTGGCATGTACCTCTTGAAGTAGTTTTCAAGTCTGACAGTTGGGTCAGCTTTAGCTCAAGTGGTTACTCTGCCATGGCAGACACTCGGAGTCTGACCATAACAACCACTCTTCCCAGCTCCCTTCACCAGCCTGGCTGAAAAGGTCACTCAACTGTCAATAAAGTCAGGTCTCCCACCCAATACCCTGGGTCCAGCCAAGTTCACTCTTCGGAAACCTCAGTGAGAGGGCTGACCCCGAGCAGGTGCCTGCAAGGCCTGCCAGAAGTGCTGGCGTCCAGGCCAGGCCAGTCATGCCCGGCCCTAGTGGACAACTCCAGCCAGCGGGCCCCACAGCGGATTCCTAGTCAAAGCATGGCAGACAAAGTTCTATGGGTGTTATTACTTAAAAAATTAAAATTTATGATTAATTGCAGTAGAATGTCATCAGTCCATTTTTTAAAAATTGCATTAGTAGTTTCTTCGGGTGAAGAATCGCTGCTGAATTAACTTAAACTTTTGAATGAGAAAGCACAGACTCACATCCTTCCCAAACAGAAGTCATCCCAGCAGGAGCTTTTAAAACATTACAGATGAGTGTAGTTGTACCTGTTACACCGCGGGAACAGATCCAAAACTTCTTCAGCTCAACCTGACAAATGCGTTTCTATTACCAGAAACTAAACAAACCCAAGAAAACTTAGGCAACATTACCATACTTGGTGCCTCCAAGTTTAGGTACATTGAAGAACTTCTTGCGTGAACTGTCATTCAATGTTTCAATAAGGTACTCAAAGGTGTGTCCTGGGGAGAAAAAGTTACAGTCATTAAATACAGTTACAAAGCACCTTATTCAAAGTGCAAATACCTGGAAATCAACTTTGTCCAACAGAATTTTCTGTGAGGATAAAAATGTTCTGTTATTTGCCTGGTTCAATCAGCCACATGTGATTGTTCATCTCTTGAAATGTGCTACAGTAACTGAGGAACTGAATTTTTATTTCATTTTAATTAATTTTGATCTAAATAGTCACATGTGGCTAGTGTCCACTGCACTGGACAATCCAGTTCTCGACCATGACTCTTATTGAGTAAAACCTGGTAACAAAACCATTGCTGAAACATGTTAACAAAGAACATCTCTGGAAATGGCAATGATTTAAATAATGTATAGGCATGCTTAGGGAAGACCTGCCCTAAATATTTCATAAGAACAGACACAGCAATTTGAGAACGCTACAGTTATGTTAGAGTAACTGATTTTTTTTTAAATCGAAAGACAAGAATTTGACAGAGCACTCAACAACGTGGACAACCAAACCCAACCAAACACCTAACAGGTAAACACCTCAATGGGTGTTGATAGGATAAAAGGCCAGATTCTCCCTAAATGAGACGTGTCTTCCAGGTTTTGCACCAACTGAGGCTGAACCACGCAGTCTTGGACCTCGGGGTCCCGACGAGCTCCGGAGGGGCGGAGGGGCCTCGAAGGAAGGCACCTGCCCGTCCTTTGTGCGGGCCCTCGGCCCGAGAGGGAGAGGCCCACAGCAGAGACCGTAGCGCCTTCCGCTCCATCCGGACGGAGCAGAGTCGGGGACGCAGAGGCGGCCCGGTGCTGCGGTACGTGGTCCGGGGCTGTCCCACCCGTGCCCGACCTCGTTCGCCTCCCTCTCAGCTCCTGGGGCGAGGAGGCGGGGACACCCGCCCCCGCCCTGCTGTCTAACCAGCGGGACTCCGGGACCCTCAAGAGGGCAGGAGCCGGGGGCCCCAGGCGGCGGTGGGCCGGGCGCGGAGCGGACCCGGAGGCCAGGCCCCAAGAGCGACCCGAGCCGGAGGCCCGCGCGCCGGCCGGGTGACTCCAGGAGCGACACGTAGGGACCCGGCGCCGGACCGCGCTCCTGCAGCTGCCAGACCCCAGGTGGCAGACGGCACTGACCTGCACTTGGCTCGTCCATCTCCGGAGACCATATTAGCCCGCGGGGACGCGCCGCGAGGAGGGAGGAAAGATTGGTCAGGGAAGGGGAGGAAGGCGGCCGACAGGGACGGGAGGAAGGAAGGGAGCAGTCTCGCGCAAACACCGCGAGAGCCGCAGCGACCGTCCGATTCTCTGCTCGCGATATTTGCGCCCAGATCTCGCGAGATCTCCGGATAAGGAAACAAAGGAAGAGCGGGGGCGGGGCTAGGGGGAAAAAGGCGTGTTCTCGCGCGATCCTCACGCTGGGAGACTGGTGTATGGATGTGCTTAGCGTAGACTGTTTCTCGATCCGTTATTTAGTGCGGCCTCGCGCGTCCAGTTGGGGCTGAGGTCTGCGGGGTGTGTGGGACGGGGGCGAGACTCCTCGCCTTCCTCGGTGATGGTCCGGGTGCGCCCGTGCAGCCTGTCCATCTCCCCTTCCTGCCCTTTCCCTGTGGCGGTCCCCAGGCTTCCGTCTCCTTGGCCTTATCTCCAGCGGCAGCCCGGTCCTTTCTCCATTCGCGGTGCCCCCTCCTAGAGGAATGCCCTTCCGTCGGCTCTGTGACTGCAGACCCCGGTTAGCTGTACCTGCCCCTAAGGCTAAGGGCGCGCCGCCTCAGTTTCCTAGGCAGGCCTCTTACCCTGCCTGGCTTAGTGCGCTGGGTACTGGTGCACCTCGGCCTGTGGCCTCTCCCGGTTTCCCCGGCCCTGCAGCCCCGAATTCTTCACCACGTTGCTCCTAAGAACAGGAAAATCCCGTAACCACAGTGCGGTCATCAAAATCAGGAAGCATAACATTGCTACACTACTATCTAATTTATAGTCCATATTCAAATTTTACTAGTTGCCCCAATATTGTCCTTTGTAGGCACTTCCCCTCAATCCAGGATCTAATTCAGGGTCTATCACTGCGTTGGCTATTTTGCCTCTTTAGTCTCCTATAATCTGGAAGAATTTATCTGCTCTCTGTTTTCTTTTATGACATCGCCATTTTTGGAGATTACCGACCCATTGATTTGCAACCTGTCCTTTACCTAGGGTCGGCCTGATTATTTCTTGGTGATTAAATTCAGACTGTGCTTTTGGCAGAATGCTACCTCAACGAAGTGTCCTTTTTAGTATCATGTCCAGTGCCTGGGGATTTCAGTTAGTTCCCTTTTGGTAACTGAGCTGTCTCTTCAGTCTAAGATCAGATCAGGGTTTCAGGCTCGAGTCTGTGGGGCTCTAGAGCCCACATTCTTACGGGTCCACAGCTTTGTCTGAGGTGTCACTAGGTGTGGGGTGGAGGTGTCCACACCTTCCTAAATCTCAGCATGGCCTGTTGATAACAGCCCTGAGTGCTGCCATGTTCTTCCACTCTACTTTTTTTTTGTAATCCCACCCAAGGATGTTTATTGATTTGGGAGAGAGGAAGGAAGAAACAGAGAGAAAAAACACCCATGGGTTGCCTCCCATATGCACCCTGACCAGTGATCAAATCCATAACCTAGGCATGTGCCCTGACTGGGAATCGAACCTACAACGCTTTGGTGCATGAGGACACTCCAGCCAAGTAACCTACCCAGCCAGGGCCAGTCTACATTTTAATTCTACACAAGGCAACCCTATTTGATTTTTTGATAGTTCCCAAATAAATGTCATCTTTTTTAAAAAAAAGATTTTATTTATTTATTTTAGAGAGGGAAGGGAGGAAGAGAGAGAGAGAGAGAGAGAAACATCAATGTACGGTTGCTGAGGGTCATGGCCTGCAACCCAAGCATGTACCCTGACTGGGAATCGAACCTGCAACACTTTGGTTCACAGCCCGCACTCAATCCACTGAGCTACACCAGCCAGGGCAGAATGCCATATCTTAAAAAAAAAAAAATCAAAACCATGATAAACAAGGACACCCGCCACTCCATGGGAGCCACAGCCAAGCCTGGCTGCAGGTGAAGTGCGAACAGCTGGCTGCCGGCCCTTGGCACATGAAGTCAAGGGGAACTATTGTCCACCCACAGCCCTGTAACTGAGCATTCTGCCCATCTATCTGGTCACGCGGAAGGCAGTTAGGAGGTTTTTCCTCTTGTTTATCTATTTATTTATTTTACTTAAGTCTACGGTTTTTATAAGTAAGATTTTTATTTATTTACTTTTAGAGAGACGGGAAGGAAAAGAGAAAGAGAGGGAGAGAAACACTGATGTGCAAGAGATACATCAATTGGTTGCCTCTCTCACACCCCCAGCTGGGGACCTGGCCAGCAACCCAGGCATGTGCCCTGCCTGGGAATCAAATCCTCAACCTTTCAGTTCACAGGCCAGCACTTCAGCCAAGGTAGGAGGTTTTTCCTCTTAGCAGCTAACAGCACACGATATTTTGAAGGTTTTTAGAAACCCCCTGAAATCCCAGTTTTTTTGCCAGCAGGTTAGATTAAAGAAGGTCAGCGCATGGTTGTAAAGCAGGAGGCTACCCATGGAACTGTGTGTGCGTGTGATAAGGCAGAAAGAACGAGAAAACACTCTTATTTCTCAGACCCACGCATCCTTTCCTAAAGGAAAAAGAATGCCCACGAGGTGGCAGCCGAGCGGGCCTGGGAAGCCAGGTTCCAGTCCCACATCCCTTCTGGGACTGTCAGCAGTTGCCTGGTCGGCGTGAGTGGAACTCTTGAGGACCACCCATCTGTTCTCGGCTCTTCCGGGCTGTTCTGCCTCAGAGCTCAGGTTTATGCCCAGAAACTTTGCGGTGAAGTTCAGAGGTACAGCTTGGACCGCTATTGGAAAAGTAGCCTCTGGGGGGCAGCCGCGCGAGGCAGCGTCCCTCTGTTCCTCCGAGTGACGTAAATAGAGAAGGGGTGTGGGACCCTGGCACCGCCAGCTAATGGAACACTAAAGGAACGACGTCCCCAATTGGACCCTCTAATGTGGCAATAAAAATAATCGAGACACGCAGATGTCCTTTTCAAAATGCTGCCATATCCCACCAGGCTCGCTCAGTTCCCCAGGAGTGCGCCCCCTTCAGGACGCTGTGCAACTCCTCTGGGAATGGACTTCAGGCAGCTACTGGACAGAAGGGTCAGGCTTAAGGGTCAGCACTGGCTTTGGAGGCCCTTCTTCTAAAGCCCATAATGTTAAAATCTGCCCTTCCGTCCTCAAATCACAGGTTCCCTGGGCCTTCTGAAAACTTCGTCTCCCACGATGAGGTACATGGCCTTGATCTGACCGAGCACTGGGCTGGGCTCAATGTACCAGCCACGGGCTCTGCGCAAATGGAAGCCCGCCCGCGGCAGGCTCTGCTCCGGACGCCACAGGGGTCCTTTCTGATCTGCAGGGGCTGGACCACCCGCCACGACATTTTCGAGACTCCCTCGCAGGTCGGGACCCGGTTGATTTCTCGTTGGTCAAATGCACCCATCTGAGACTGTGATTCAGAGCTGAACTGTGTGCAGAAAGCAGCAGGCCATGGGCACGCGTCTGCTGGCACAGAACCTGGTGGAGGTCGCCCTTGGTAGCCCAGTTCTGCAGGGGGGTTTGTGACCCGTTCCCATAAGCTTAGCCTAGACAGAATCCCAGGGATTCGTCAAGTTCTCCTCACCTCTCTGCATCAGCCAGGCCTGGATTGCAGGGGATGGGATCCGGTCTGGCTCATTTGGGCTCATTTACGCAGAAAATGACTCTCTATGGGGCATGAAAGGGCTTTACGGAGTTAATGGGGAGCTGAGGATGCTCCATCTAGGTTGAGGCTGTTTAAAACGCTCCTACAGGCCCCAAGGGAGCTGCCCCATCCCCACCCCCACCCACCATCTGTGCTGCACAGCGATGCCCCTATGACCCAGAGGCCCCTCTGACTATCAAGTCATCGCAATCCGGTGGCCAACACAGTCAGAAACCACAGGCCCTGGGGCAGCTCCAGGGTCTCACTGTGTCTGTTGCGGTGGTTACCAGGGACACCACATGCCAGCTCCTTGCTACTCCTAACCTTAGCGACCAGACACTGGAGTTTCTGCAGGGGTCACTGAGATTCAGCGGACCCAGCAGAGCTGTGGCTGCCCCCTTGCCTGCACCTCAGGGCGAGCCGACCGACCCGGGCTGCCAGCGGGTCCAGGAACACGGAGGTCAGCTTCTCAGCCTCCGAGAGGAATCGACACTTTTCTGCCAACACTAACTGGACTAACTAGATGCCAAGAACCAAGAACCCGGCCAGCACAAGTTCTGTGTGTGGTGACAGGCCGCTCGCAGCTTCCAGAAGGTTGCCTGCTCAACCTGGGACAGTCTGACTAGGAAAAAGTTTTTTGTTTTTGTTTTTCACATTGAGCTGAAACCAGTCCCCACTCTGCTTTCTGGGACCATTTACCTGCCCTCCAAAGACCTAAGGACAGTGACGACGGTGTTCCCCCAACTGTGCTCAGGGGAAGTGAAAGTGCTGGCCTTCCAATGACAGAGGGGGCTCAGCCAGTGTTCAGAAACACGCCCCACTGCGGTTCCTACTTCCTCCCCCCATTCCTCAGCACCCCACACACTCCTGGCACAACTCATGCGCCCCGTCCTACCGTGCATAACAGCCACAGCAGCCACCAAGGTACAGTGTCCTACTTGTGAGACCACTGGTCCCACACTTCCCTGCAGGAACCAAGTCCCTGGGCTGGGACAGCCGAGAAGGCCTGGGATTGAAGAGATGGCAGGACATCCCTGAGAGGACGGTATCTTCCTGGCCACGAAGCAAATCCACTGTCATTGGCAACTCCCAGGCTCCTGAGAGGCCAAGAAACCAATTAATTCAAAACGCATTTGTGCAGTACGCTAAATTGGCCACCAGAGGGAGTTTAGCTATAACGGGGTCTTCCACAAGACCAATCGTTCCAGCAGCCTGCCTTCAGAGGGTGTTCGCGCCTCCTCACCTCCCAGCTGCTCCGCGCACCTTGCACCCCGCGGGTCTCATCAGTGAGCAGGCAGGTGGCCACTCCCCTCATCCCACTTTTTGAGGAAGGGCACCGGGAGGTCAAGCGACTTTTTCTTTTTTTCACTTCATGCTAATCACAACCTTCTGTAACTGTTATTTGCAAGTTCATGGGCTCTTTTTAAAAGCTTGTCAGTGACTGTAAAAGCCGAATTCACCCGCTGGCCGCTTTGACACGCTGGGGAAGCC